ACAATTGAAAATGCTATCATTAGAAAGAGCATTCAATTCTCTCCAAGATCCAATCATCACGTTTGCATGACAAGCAACAGTATTCTTAAAAATATAAATGTTTTAAACCTCTGCAAAGTGATTTTTAGCGAAAAATATCTACGCCTTTCATTTGTCTGAAAACTACGCACCTCGTCCTCAATTATAAAGCACATTTGGCAGATTCTGAAGTGGAAAGCATGCTTATCAGACACGGGCACCTCGATGCGGTGGATATTTTTTCCACAAACCAAAACGTTTAGCCGTCAAAAAGCAATCGACCGAAATGGATAGATAACCCAACCGACACAAGGACAACCGAACACCCGCCGATCGAAAATATCCCTTTTCGCGTTGCGGAGCACGCGGGTCACCCTAGTGTTGGGCTATTTGACATATACGTCATGATAATGACAGAATTTAGATTTGGGGCAAGACGGACCACTGTGGTCCATCTTACCCTGTGGTGGTCCATTGTACCCTGCATATGGAAAGTTCTTTTCCAAAATATTGACACAAGTTCAAGTAAGCTAATTTTTCAGGAAGGAGTCTTTGTTGCATGTGAGCCATGCATGTAAGTGCTCAGTTAGCATGCATTCATGCCAAACGACAATCAACACACATGTTCCCAGCTTTTAGCTGCACTTCCATCACACATGAGTAAAGAATAAAGGCTCATTTTGTTATTTTACCATTCTGGTTACTTTTTTTACAAGAGTACAGAGCAGAAGTGTAACACACATGAACGGATAGCAGGCACTGCTGGGTGGTCCGTCTTACCCCACGTTTTTTCTTGTCTGAGTTTTTGACATGTCCCTCTTTAACCCGCGCCCCACTGGGGTCTGCGTATAACACGCCCTACTGGGGGGGGGGGGGGGCTATTCATAGCCCCCCCCCTCCTAACTCCGAAACTACTGGGCCGATCGTCAAAATTCAAACGGCGTCTGATAGCCCCGGAAAAACTGTCGAACGAAACCTAATTTCATTGACCTCGAGGTCACCGATGACGTCACAGGTCAGGTCAAAGTAAAAATTATTAGCATTTTGGCTTCGTCACGTTTTGGGCTCTGGCCGCCGTCTTACAAGTCAGATCAGGCTCATTTTTGGTTCACACACTCGTGAACAGATGCTCTAGATACTCTGAGGGTACCAAACTTGTACTTTGATTTTCAGGTCAAGGTCAGGTCATCACAGGTCACGAAAATATTTTATCATCCGTCGGTCACGTGACACATGTTTTATGGTCCATTTAGGCCAAACATTTCGAATTTGATGTCGTCTGTGTCATTCGAGGTCATTTTGAGTCAAATTTAGCTTAGTTCAGGTCACTTTTAGGTCAAAAAAGGTCGAATTTTGAAGTTAAATTTTTTCAACAAAAAAGGTGTCTATTGGATGCAGTTTGAGCTCAGGAACACGATGATGCTATTTATATTGGCGTACGATGTCAAATTCGTGCTGAAAAATTGATTTGAAAAATTGATAATTGTTAATTTTTTGCAATAATTCGTATAACTTGGCCATTTTTGAAGATATTTAGCTAAAACTTGCTAGAGTTAGCCATAATAATGCGTTCTATCACATATATTCTGGTTTTTTCGAAAAGTCAAAAACTTTTTGAAAAAAATGTAAAAATATAAATTTTGAATTTTATTATGTTAAATTTTCGAAATTTTCAAAATTTTGAAAATCCGAGATAGCAGTTTGATAGCGCAGTCTATTCTGAGTCCTCTCATGCAAAGAAATTGGATCTCGCTGAAAAACTGAGCTCTTGGGAGCGATTGCCGTGGTTCAATGTTTTGCGTCGAAATCGGCCGAACATGACGTCACTCTGACGTCATTTCCGGCCGACCTATGGTAGGTACGAAGTTCAAATTTTGACACAAGGTGTCAAATTGATGCAGCCGAAGGTACTGAAAGTTTGGCGTCGATACGTCAAGCGGTTTGGAAGTTATTGCAGAAAAACGGGAGGGGGGGCTATAAATAGCCCCCCCCCCCAGTGGGGCGCGGGTTAAGAGCATCCACCACCTAGATGTCTTTATTTTGATATTTAGTCTTTACACATATCAACAGAGGAAGGATTGAGCATACCGAAGACTATAAATAATATGAATTACGAGAGCAGTGTAGCAAGATATGCGGCCTCAAACCTTAGCTGGTCCGTCTTACCCCACCTTCCCCTACAGCTATAGCGCGGCGAAAAAAGTGGGGGCGTTTAACGCCCCCCCCCCCCCCAGCAACTAGCGGGTTAAAACTGATGCCTTCATGCAATACACCAAGTTTCAAAGCTCTGGAACTTACACGATAAGCTGAAGCTCTGAGCTGGAGAGTCCAATTTATGTGTAGGGTTTCGATTTCCTTAGGTGGTCTTAACAAGATCGAGAATTGGTGTGATAAATGATGGAAATACACCATAAGCGCATAAAAATGAAAAATAAAGAGAGCGAGAGAGCGAGAGAGCGAGAGAGAGAGAGAGAGAGAGAGAGAGAGAGAGAGAGAGAGAGAGAGAGAGAGAGAGAGAGAGAGAGAGAGAGAGAGAGAGAGAGGTCTAATCCGGCAGTAAGAGGAGGAAACAAAGAGGAAGAGGACTGATGGAGGAGGAAGAGGACGTCGCTTGTTCGTAGAGGTATGAGCGTACGTCCAGGTCAGGATACAATCCATCGCAGAGGGTCGACATTCCAAGCTGTTTACCTGGTCCGGGGGTCAATGGTGCAGTCCTAGGTCCCGACCGTGGGCTAAGAGGGAGAGGGAGAGGGAGAGGGAGAGAGAGGGAGAGAGAGTGGGGTCGGTGACCGAAGGGGTTTCGTGAGCCAGTGCTAAGGTCAGTGACCGGTGTTAGAGGCGGCGGAAGGGGTGTAGCCCAGGGAACCTGTGCGACACGGTACGGGCCGGGGCACCACACGGGATTACGGAACTGGGGTTCGATGTGATAACTTACCAGAGCTGTAATATTCCCGGCTCGAAGATCTGCTTGAAATTGGCAGTTCAGTTCACAGGCCCATTCAATCGGTAAGCCACTTTATTTTAATTTGTGTGGCCGAACTATCACCTGGACTTCGATTTTTCGGGGGGGGGGGACTCATGGTTTCCATCATTCGACCATGCAATGCCGTACGGTCTTATAAATGTTCATTGCTAGTGTATCAAACGAACCAAATCAAACGAACCACACACCGCGCACTATTTGGTGACATGGGGTAAAGCTTTGAGGGCCCAGCCGAAAAAAAAAATGCTTTCCTGCGGGGCGACGAATGGGGGCGCCGCACCGTGGAGGTTTCTTTTGAAAAAAGCGGTCTCGTTTGGCGCAGCTCTGGAGAATTCACTGAGCTTCATCAAGCATCGATATTCCATCTCATTCGTTTTCTTTTCATTTTCACGAGCATAGCATTAAAAAAACAGACCCATGTACCGGTTGTACCTAAAAAAAAAAAACAAGTCCTACACAGAAAGGTAAAATGAAAGTGGTGCCCCTCTTTATACGTACTTCGGGATAAGAAGCTCACGAGGGAGATGATATATTACTGTTTTATTGGCTAGAATATTGACCCGCAGGGACTATTTGCAATGTTTCCAGACGGTCACAATCACAACGCTCGGTCTTAAAACTGAACATTCCTTTGAGGACGGCCAGGGCTAGACGGACACGGCTGTGTCCAGATTTAATTATGTACGACATATGCGAACTGATGTCAACTTACACAGACCAGTTTTACCACATAGAGGCCAAACCGTTGACATTGTGTGAAATGTAAGAAACATTACGAAGGAAGGAGCTCTAAAAGATTGAACGTTTCTTGTTATGATGTTGTATGCTTTATTAGTTTCACCCGTGAGTACCAAAGGCATCCCGCAACCTCAGAATTGGGACACTGTTACAATAAATGACCGCTGTTGACCTGACTTTTGACCTGACCTAAAAATGATAATACTTTCGTCATTATCTTCCCAGTCCTTTTTCAAATATCACTTCCGCTAAATGTCCAGAGGTCGAGTGTGTGTGACGTTTTTACGAGCGATTGCTCGTAACAACGACAGCTCGTAACAACGCCCGCCTCAATATGTTACGACCTACTACGATCGTACCCTTGCGCTAACCTAGCACGGGTAAAGTCACGCAGACAAATGTGTTGCTGAGGAAACACCAGAGAACTATACATAACTCAAAACGGATCCAGGATTTTCTTCGGCCAGGGCCCAGGGGTCAATGACATGAAGGCGACATGTTTTCCTCCTTATAGCTATTGCATACAATTGGAGCGCCTAAAATAGGTGAAAATTGAAGGCAACTCCTTCTGTCTTTTGTCCTTCCTCTAATGTTGTCAGGCAGAAGCGTCTCTCGGGAAAGCATCCGGCGGCGTTTTGACAATTGTTCCCTTCGGGAAGGGCTGAGCAGCTGACCGACCGCTCACGCGTGTCCATAGGCACCGTGCCTATGGAGGGCACTGGGGAACCGTGCCCCCTTTGATTTTGGCATTTTAACATTAGCCCTATGGGCGTTGCATGGAAAGAATGGGACCAAAAGTCGGCAGTGCCTCCCCTCCCCCCGTAATTGAAGGTGTTCCGCCGCTACCGCGCGTGTCTCCACGGTCCAGGGAGGAGCGGAACGGTTCGCTGGACAGCTGTGCACGTCCACGGTGCCATGAATCCAGTGCCACGGGGACCGCCGGCGGCAGTGTTTGGCACGCCAGTGGTCGTCTCCTGTCAGTATTTGTCTCGACAGTGTCTCCTTTGCCAGAGCTTGTCTCCACAGTGTATGTCTCACTCGTTGTCTCAGCAGTGCGTGTATCGTCGATGTCTGTCTCACCAAGTCAGCAGTGTTTGCCTCGTCAGCGTTTGTCTCGTCAGTCGCCTGTGTTTGTCTCCCGTCAGTGTTTGTCTCCGTCGGTGTGTTGTTGTTCCATCGTTCCCTGGTCCCAGCGAGCCCGGGCCGATCGGCACGACCCCTCAGGCTGTTGTCGGCCATCAAAAGGACGCTTCGACCCGCCGCGCCGTCACTCGCGTCCCAGCCGTGGTCCACTCAGCTCGACTCTTCTCGACTCAGCTCGACTCAGCGACTCTACTCGACTCTTCTCCGCCTTGACTCACTATGAAGGTGACGCTGCTCCTTCTGGCGCTGGCGGCAGTGGCCGCGGCAGCAATCGTCGAGAAGCCATCTGATGATTCGGGTAAGCCAGCAGTGCACATTTCTGAATGTCCCAATCACATAGTAATCGTTTCAGTTCTGGCGGCTCCAGCCAGGGCAGGGGGCAGGGGGGGAGGGGGTGCAGCTAAATGGGCGTTTGTTCACTTCTTTTCATGGACTGCCATGCGATAAGCATTACGTAAAAAAAAAATAGGATCTAGAAGTGGTAAACCCCCCCACCTCCCCAGCTGCCTCAGCGCACCTAACTTTTTTAGCGTTTCCTTCTTGCATTTGGGGGGGGGGGAGGGGGATCGTATTCACTTATGCAAAGCTCTAGCCAGGACTCCCGCATAGTGTTGATGACATCTGTTGCTGATGACATCATCTGATGACAGCTGTTGCTGATTTCATTGCAGATTCCGGGCCGGGCAAGTTTCTTTTGGTTGCTCACCGGCGTAAGACGACTACGGTGACGTCACATTTAATGCTGACTACCACCGTCACCGTGCCCTACCGCTGTGACTTCACACGTAAGTAGAATGACGTCACTTGGGGAACGTACGTTTTTAGTGAATGGATTTCAGATCAGAGGGAATATCGGTTCTCCGATTCCTTCGAGCTGTAAATATATCGGGAGAAGCCTCTATCACTTCAAAAGCAGGTATCCAGCTGCCCGATTGAATTGTATTTTTTAGAGTCAGCGAAATAGTTCAAACTGAAATTATCATTAAAGCGAGCGAGCGATTGTTAGCGACACTGCTGATTTGGTTGTATCCCCCGTAGAGCGTTTGAGCAGTCGAGTCAAGCTTATAATACCTTAACTGTTACAACAGCACCAGACGTCTGGTGACCTGAAAAGGCCGCCGCGATCCCTTTTCAAAAACTTTAATCAGGAGTCACCACTGACCTGGAGTTTACCCCCTCCACCCTGGAAACACGCCCCTAGATTCTCCTGGCTGTCGAGAACAGCGCGCCACAGCCCACAAACGAGCTTACTTACTGACATATCTTATCCGTTTTCTGGTTTCAGCGAGCCTCATCGCGTGTACTGGAACCGGTAGGCGCAGGGTAAGTTATCTCCGAAGTAACTTTAGTCCGCAATTTCTTGGGCCCTACCCACTACAAGTAGAATATGGAGGGCAATAGCAGTTAAGGAACTTTTACTAAGAATATCTAATGATCTACAATGATCCTTAATTGTGATTACTTTTTCGCAAGGTATGTAGGGACAAACAACCAACCAACTGGTTACATCGCCTTAAATTAGGTCCTTACTAATACCAAAGCGTTAACGGTAGACCCATGCATAGATAACAGTAGAACTGTTATCTACTGTCATCTACTGTTGTTCTTCTGTTATCTATGACCCATGTAAAAATGATCAATTTCTGGAACAAGAATTTGGAATCGGTGCCTGTTTATGGGACTAAGTAATCGCGTGTAAACAATTATTGGGGAGTGTATGGTTTGAAGGGAAAAATAAAACACTATTGGCACTGTTGACTGTTGACTTGAGATCGATCAAGTCGCCTGTAGCACAACAAATGTGCATTTTTTTGTGGTAAGCCACATCTGCCGTCAGGTTTTCCAAATGCAATTTGCGTATGTCCGTCAGCGACGCTACCTCCGCTCAACGGACCACGCTGATCGACAAACGACAGTTATGGTAACACACTAATCCATGTCTGTGTCCTGCAGAGGTCTGCCAAGGCCAAGGCAGCATCAGCACCCAGCGATGAAAAGGAGCCAGACGTTGAAATGGAGCCAAACGCCGAAATGCAGTCCAACGCCGAAATGCCACCGAACGCTGAGACAGAGATACCGTCCAACACTGAGATGGAGTCCAACTCTGGCATTCAGCTGGACAGCTCGATGCAGCCGGCTGACGGTAAGAGCATGAGACTGAAACTGGAACACCTGCTTAGGAGATTCGGTGTTTTACCATAATATAATAAGTCATTATAACTTGCTATGTAATGAATATAATTGTTATCCATTATATGATTTTATCCTAAAGGAGATAACGGGGAGTTTCGAAATGCAACAAGTTGATTCAGGCTCTACTCCACAAGAAATCGTTCGCGCAGGAGCTTTCGAATTGTATTACAGATATCGGTCGCAAATATTGGGATCGAAACCCCCCCCCCCCCCCCCCACCCTCGAACCCAAATACGACATGCTGACGAAGTTTCGTAATGCGATTCGAAAGCTCAGACTCGATTTCATGTGGAGATAGGTCTGAACCAGCTCGTCGATTTTTGTTACTCAGCCAAAAACTCAGCCTTACATGTATTAACCAAGGCTATAGAACTGGTATTTACCCTATGGAATGTTATTTAAAGAATGTGTGATGCAATGTAATACACTTGTGACTTACATATAAAAAAACGCTAAATAAATAATGATTAATACCTTACGCTGGAGATTCACCTTATCAGTAATTCAAAAACTCAAACAGGTCCCAGGTCTTTCTACGCCTTTCGACACAATTATTTCATTTACTGATTTTTTCACAATTTTTTTCTTCTTGAAAACTGCTAAATCACCAACATCTGACCCGATGCGCCGCTGTTTCAGGAGCCGGCGATAGCGCCCGACTGCTGATCCACACCCGGATCACTGAAACATACACCAGCACCATTGGCACCAGGACGGTGTCCGTCACCAACTCAGCCAGCACCGAGTACGTCGCCTTTGCGTCATGTTCGGCGACAGACTACGCGGCTACTCGACTACCACTTTGCCCGGAGCCATAAACTTCAGCCAGCGCCTGGCTGCCGGTTAACACGGCTCGTTAACCCGAGTTAACACGCAGGCTTTTAACCCGTGTTAACCGGTGCCGTGGCAAGGGTCTCAGTTTTTGACAGCTCGCCACAGTGGTACCTAGGGGACATGGCTGCCACCAAGCCAGCACTTCGGTAGGGACTGGCGAGCGCGTGGTTGGGATCGGAAGCTTGTCTCCTGCTCATGTTCGGCCGTTTTGATGCTGTTGTCGACGACGGGAACTGACTGGACATGGTCTGACCTAGCTATTGTTCTCTGATATTGTTTTTGGCCCGTACGGCTGCAGAATGCCATATTGTGGTATAAATATACGACAAAATGAGTACATTGTTTTATTCAATATTTGATTTTTGTAGCTCCATTCCAGTAGAAATGATAAGAAAGGACGATATATGAGAAGAAATGGATGCAAAATGGAATGCGAGTCAACAAATGTAAACGAATGAGCGAAAAGTAAATAAGCGATTGATCTTACTAAGATAAAGCAGATCAATAACGTCTTTAACATTGCATGAAAAACGAATTTAACATAGAACGTTTATCGGTTAACCCATCGACAGCCCACAACAATCTAGTACCTACGTGTTAAGCTCCATATCACCTGAGCCTCGTTACACCACTGGTGTAATAACACCACAAGGTAGTGTAGATGTGCCTCGTATATTTCTTAGTTATAATTATTTTTTTGTCGTCTACTTAAATTACCAAAATGGACAAAATAGTAAAAATGTTTATCATTAGGTAGAGAAGAGAGATCGGGACAAAGGCGCCACCATTTTATCATCGCTTTATTGGAAACCGGAACTAGCATCAGTTACATCACACTGGAACCGGACCTACATCACACTGATGGCGACATGGACCACATCAGCCGTATGGACCCGACATACCAAACACCGGACACTGACGTCAGGCGGCGTCAGATGACGTAACTCATTACCACTGACTGGCACCAGCTGACGTGAGCTAGCAGCTGACAACAGCCAACAGAAATGACGTCAGTTTGAAACAGCTGACGTTGTTTTCCATCAACTGATGCGACTTTTCATCAGCTTCCAGCAACTGACGTGGCTCGACATGAGCTGACAGGTCAGCATCACTTGCCGTCAGTCTCAATCAACTGACGTGAAAATTCATCAGCTGGCTGACATCAGCTGACGTGGGTCATCAGCTGACAACATCCAGCATCAGCTGCCGCCAGTATCGGGCCAAAGAGTACCACATCGTAGGGCCCGACAGGAACCAATCGCTACACCGAGCCAATCTCTCCACGAACGACAACACTTTCCAACTTACAAGTTCCACCATCCAGCGTTCATCGCTCGCTGTCCATCGCTCGCTGTCCACATGTCGCTGTCCACATGTCGCTGTCCACTGTCCACCGTCCAGTGCCCACGATCCACAGTCTCCGGCGCACGGCTCTACTGTTTCTGAGGACAAATGTGAGACACACCGATGGGGTCAGGTTTAAAAGTTATGGAAGGGGGTGGGCGCCTTTAAACTTATTAGTTATTACTTAAATGATGTTACGAGATACGAGATAAAATGATGTTCCAAAATTCAAATGAATGCAAAATTTCAATGCGAGATAAATTCATTAGACAATTTTTCGTAATTTCAGCCAAGCAAATCTTCAATTACCAAGGGACGGGAGCTTGTCAACCAAACATTCACCGAACTCTTTATCGGAGCTTGCCTTATGTCTGGTCTGCCGGCCAAAGGAAGAAACGCGTAACTCCCAAATCCGAACTTTCCAGGAGAGCCAAAAAACATGTTCGGACCTTTCACGGCTCCTGTGGTCTGAATATTCAAAACAAATACAGCACAAATAATACCATTGGAATCTCCACTGTCCGCTCTTGTCAGTGATACCAATATTTTTATTTTAAATTATGTCGCATGCAAGAAATACGTCTATACGTTTCTTCCTTTGCAGCTGTTAATTCACATCAATCGAAATCCCAATGGAAGAAACGCGTGAATCGGTTATCTGGAGCTACGCGTTTCTTCCATTGGGATTTCGGCGCACGCGCTACATCGACGTTGTGGAAAAAAAGGGCAGACACAGTAATGAATGAACGGATGAATGAATGTCTGGCGTGTGAGATCTAAACCGCTTCGAATCTTGACTGTTTAACTGAATAATTTCGATGTTTAACTGTATAACTGTCCCTCTACGTCTTTATGTGTATATGAGTGCATTTAACTCTGGCATGTGCAGATATTTTAAATTAACTCAGCACGTCTTACCTTATAGAATATACTGGAATCATTGAGATAATATAGTCAACAAAAGGCTATCAACTCAGCAGCCTGACATTCAAAACAGAAGGGAACAATGGGGTATATTTCGGTTGCTGAAGACAACATAACACTGTATAAACACCACCCATCCAAAAGGCTGGATCAACAAAAGGCTATCAACTCAGCAGCCTGACATTCAAAACAGAAGGGAACAGTCATGGGGTATATTTCGGTTGCTGAAGACAACATAACACTATAAACACCACCCATCCAAAAGGCTGGGTCAACAAAAGGCTATCAACTCAGCAGCCTGACATTCAAAACAGAAGGGAACAATGGGGTATATTTCGGTTGCTGAAGACAACATAACACTGTATAAACACCACCCATCCAATACACACAACGCCATTATACAGACAGAAATCGCCTGGAAGCGGGAGGGCGGTATCTCCGGCGCCGGGGGTCACGGCGACCGCCCCCTGTCCCATCCAACACACACATGACACAACGGCATCTTCACCGACATATCCTAGCATCTGCGCAGCGGCTGCGCAGATGGCTGAGACAGGCTGAGACTGCTGAGGCTGAGGCTGCCAGGCTGGTGCAGCCTCAGCCTGCCAAATCGCGCACCTTCTTTCCTTGCAGAGATTCCCAGAACTCGCGCTTGTAAGGCGTCATCAACGGTGCCAGTACTTTCAGGATCCTGTCCAACTTATCTTTATTTACTCCACGAGCGACCGCTCGCCTATTGGGCTGCGTGGTTGGGTCGTACGTGGTCTTGAACAGGTCATAAGCGGCCCAGCTGGGGCTGCCATGTCGTGTTTTTAGAAATAGTCGATCGTCTCCACGTCGAGCCTGGACCACTTTAATGTCTCTCAACATAGGCCTCATGTCACCACCGGCAAGCCGCGTCAGCTTGGCGGTACTGACGCCATTCACCAGGTCTCGGAAATCGCCCGGCGACATTTCCACTACTCGTCCAGACCGTTCACAGATTTTAACAAAATCAGAAAAATCCTCCACTACAGCCTTTGAAAGAAATTTGTTCACGACCTGGTGAATGGCGTCCGCTGACATACTAGTATGTCCTTTCTCCAAATATTTTACTGTGACTGTGTTGAGTGCCACATCAGTCCTATTCACCATGTTTTGAAGGGCCGTCAGAAATGTCCAATTCTTATTCTGTGCCGAACAGTTGTCGACCCAGAAGGTGAGGCTGACCACGTGCCGATGGAGTTCCGCGAATTTCATGAATGTGGAGGCCACGTCGGGCGCGTCCCTCCCTGCCACACCCTCGTGCCACACGATGCACACGCCCTGACCCTTGCCGCCGCCAAGTGAGACGAAAGTTTCATTGTACGCTATGAGGCGGGATGTGAAAACACACGTCTTGTGGGGCAGGATTGGGAGAACGGCAATCCTCATCATGTCCGCGGACACCACCATCTCGTCTGCCGTCCGCGGCCTTGACCGGTCTCGGGCGTATTCCGCCCGCGCCCGCTCGGCCCTGTCGAGGTGGGAAGCGTGATCCTGGCACACCTGACAGGTTTCATGATCAGTGCATGAGGAGAGGTGCAAGTGAAAGGCCTTGCATATTTCACACTCTTCCCCAGCGAGTCGTGTGAAGCCAATGTTGGCCTCTCGGACGGCTTGACGAAACCGCTCCATGGAGCAGATTCTGCCCTTCTCCTCGACCAGGTGACGATACATCGTGGGCACGGACAGGTCGATGGGGAGATACCGGCGATTTGGCGCGTGCAAATACCGGTAATGTGGCGTCAGCGGATGGTAGCGCTCAATGTGCTGCTTTAGCTCTGTAGCCAGAAGTTTCACGCCAGCCGGCGAGGCGCGGCCACGCTCGTCCCTTTTGGGGGATAGCTTCCCGACAGCTGTCAAGATCACCCCATCGCTGGCCTCACTGAAACCCAGCGTTGTTAGGCAGAATTCTTTACAGACACGCTGGTTTCGGCCATTTTCCAACGGGAGTCGATAAACGATGAGCCGCCGCCTGGCAGAGGCAACATCGGTTAACGGAGGGCTGTCAGTCAGAGTCGGGGTCTCATCGGTGACGTGGGTGGCATACCACTGAAGCCTAGCTTCCCTGGGCAGTGAGTTGACAGTTGTATTTATGTTTTCCCTCTGTGCCTGGGATATGTGAGAGGTGCATTCGAACCGGCATTTGCGGTTGAGACATGCTGTAGGAATAGGTCGGACACTATGCTTTTGTTTGAAGGCCAGGATCTGTGAGTCCTGCGTTCTGGCACGTTTTTTAGACTGTCCAGGGGTAGAAGGCTCACAGCTGGTGCCTTCTTCGCGGGGTGTGCGACAGCTTGTCGTACCGCGATCATATTCGCCCCTGTCGCCGTCGGCTCCGACATCGGGGACAGGTCCAACAGCGGCGCCGAGGTCAGGACCAGCGGGGTCGAGGTAAGTACCAGCGGGGCCGGGGTCAGGACCAGCGGGGTCGAGTTCAGGACCAGCGGGGCCGGGGTCAGGACCAGCGGGGTCGAGTTCAGGACCAGCGGGGCCGGGGTCAGTGCCACCGGGGCCGGGGTCAGTGCCACCGGGGCCGGGGTCAGGACCAGCGGGGTCGAGTTCAGGACCAGCGGGGCCGAGGTCAGGACTAGCGGGACCGAGGTAAGGACCAGCGGGGCCGGGGTCAAGACCAGCGGGGCCGGGGTCAGGACCAGCGGGGTCGAGTTCAGGACCAGCGGGGCCGGGGTCAGTGCCGCCGGGGCCGAGTTCAGCCCGCACAGGTAGGCCAGCGAGGTCGAGATGATCAGTGGGACCGAGTTCGGGGACACTTTCACCGGCGGGGTCAAAGTTAGGACCTGATAGAGGAACATCGATGAGATCACAGCTGGAAAGGCTACCCAAAAGTCGAATGAAGTTATATGACCCAGTATCAAGAAAATAATCAAGATTGCACAGATCATCAAGCTGTGGCTCGTCGGTAGCTGGCGGCAGCTTGGCACCTACGGCATTGACATTGGTTAGCTGATACTCATCCGCTGAAGCACCAGCAGGTCCGGCAGCCACCGTCGAGCCGCTGTCGAGGGCCGCCTGAAGATGCTGTCCATCAACACCGTCGGCATCAGCACCAGCAGGTCCGGCGGCCACCGTCGAGCCGCTGTCGAGGGCCGCCTGAAGATGCTGTCCATCAACACCGTCGGCATCAGCACCAGCAGGTCCGGCGGCCACCGTCGAGCCGCTGTCGAGGGCCGCCTGAAGATGCTGTCCATCAACACCGTCGGCATCAGCACCAGCAGGTCCGGCGGCCACCGTCGAGCCGCTGTCGAGGGCCGCCTGAAGATGCTGTCCATCAACACCGTCGGCACCAGCACCAGCAGGTCCGGCGGCCACCGTCGAGCCGCTGTCGAGGGCCGCCTGAAGATGCTGTCCATCAACACCGTCGGCATCAGCACCAGCAGGTCCGGCGGCCACCGTCGAGCCGCTGTCGAGGGCCGCCTGAAGATGCTGTCCATCAACACCGTCGGCATCAGCACCAGCAGGTCCGGCGGCCACCGTCGAGCCGCTGTCGAGGGCCGCCTGAAGATGCTGTCCATCAACACCGTCGGCATCAGCACCAGCAGGTCCGGCGGCCACCGTCGAGCCGCTGTCGAGGGCCGCCTGAAGATGCTGTCCATCAACACTGTCGGCATCAGCACCAGCAGGTCCGGCGGCCACCGTCGAGCCGCTGTCGAGGGCCGCCTGAAGATGCTGTCCATCAACACCGTCGGCACCAGCACCAGCAGGTCCGGCGGCCACCGTCGAGCCGCTGTCGAGGGCCGCCTGAAGATGCTGTCCATCAACACCGTCGGCATCAGCACCAGCAGGTCCGGCGGCCACCGTCGAGCCGCTGTCGAGGGCCGCCTGAAGATGCTGTCCATCAACACCGTCGGCATCAGCACCAGCAGGTCCGGCGGCCACCGTCGAGCCGCTGGCCACGGGTGAATACAACTGCGCGCAAAACGAGTGGGTTATGATCAACATGCTCAGTTTATCTCCTTGAGCGAAACATTAGTTGTGACCTTCAGGAATAGTTGGTAGGGGAGGCGGACTGGAAACATCGGATCATACGATTTGATGTTCATTTTATTGTATTGAGTGTCAGGCATGCATTGAGTGTCAGCAATGATAGCTGCAATGATTGCAATGATAGCAATGATTGCTGATTTTCATGAACATCACAGACCCAGCAGGAAAGCTAGCTATTGCCGCCTCGGTGATTTTTTTTTTCGCTGAAAACATTTGCCATTCACCGGACACCGCTCATTTCGCCCAATGTGAAAGGGAAAAACAATTGTTGTTTAGGTGCGTTTTGGACGTAACACTCACCAGTTGATTTGAGTCCGCAGGTTTGTCCACTGTCGGTGTAGAGACCAGCTCAAGTGCGGGCGTTAGAACCGCACAGGACGCACTACTGGACGCATCTTCATGCCGCATCGCACTTGCACATCGCACTTTTGCCAGCGGCAACTCATCGTCTGACACATCTGCACCATGATAACAGAGTCACATCACTCAATGTTTGTGTTTCATTTTTATTAGCGCACATAATTAATCAAATTTTATTTATTTTAAATGTCATATATTTCCTCATAACCTACATTTTTCATCATGTTTACTGAAACGCCAATTATTTTGTGAAATTATTCATACGTAGGTTTTATAAAATAACAAATTCTAGAAACGAGCATGTAAGAAACCTTACATTACACATCCTTTGATATGCCCTCGGAGAGAATACACTGCCATTCGGGACTCCCGTCATTTTCCGCTGGAGGCTGAAATGTTATCCTTAACGAGACTCGCACGTTTTAACGGACTACAAGATGGCTATATTCGTTAAAATCCTATGTTGAAGGCGTGCTATTTTCTTCAAATGTAGGCATCTTACCTTGAACTAGGAGGCGTGCGGCCAAGGGGCTGACCGCTACGGTGCCCGTCCACGCTCGACCACCCGAATGTCGCATGCTGACCCGTGAGCCGGCGGCAATAGTCCCGGAACACTTCAGCGACTTCACGGGGACATAGTGATAGTCACCTCGACTTGTGTCGTCCCAGTCAACTCTTACATATACGTTGCCTCTGCGTGTCTTAAAATCTGCGTCAATCGGTACACCTGGTATCGGTCTCTTTCGCTTTCTCCCCATCCTATCATAAATCACGATCAAGAACTGTCACCTGTCACCAAAGACACTACTTAAGCCAGCGCGGAGCGAAAACGATCAGCTTAAATTGCCCGCCATGGCGCCAAAACTTGTTATTGTTTACGTTCCTTGATTTTTTTTAGTGAAGCACGTGCTTCGGTACTGATGACAGGCGGCAAGTTTTTAATGGGGTTTTAAATTAGCGTGTCCATTTTAGACAGTTCAGAAGCATGATTATCTCAGGCATTATTGAAGTTAGGCCTTCTCTGCGCGTGTATTCGTTTATTATGTTATCACGACAATAAACTTACTTAAGACATCACAATAATCAACGATGAGATTAAAAGTCTACCAAGATCACAACATGACAAAATGTCGTGCATCCTCCGCCGTGCTGGTATCAAACACGCCACTCCGGGTCCACGCGTTTCTTCCTTTGGTTTTCGAGCTGCTACGAGCGTAAACCGCAATGGAAGAAACGGGTGAAATCTCACGCGTTTTTTCCTTTGGCCCCTTGGACCAATTGCACCCACCTCGCAACTGACGCTATTTTGCCAAACTAAGATAGGTCATAACTTTTTCAAATAACATCAGATCGTTCCAAAATTGGTATAGTAGGATGCGTCTTGAGAAGGGCTATCGATTGATATAAAAAAACAAAAATGTCAAAAATCGAGTTACGCGTTTCTTCCTTTGGACGGCAGTGGTGCAGTGGAACCTTGAGCTCTACCCAGAGACTCACTAACCTTTGCTACATGCAGCTCTCCCCATAGCTTACAAGGCGCAGCACGAGCTGAATGGCACTCCGATAAATCTCACCTGATGCCGGGTGATGTATTATCTATTCTAAACCCCTCCCAGACCTCACCTTACCTTATGTCTGTAAAACTCTCGATGAATCTCACCAAACGCCTAGTGCTGCAGAAGCTAAAACTCCCCCGGTCCTCACCTGAGCTCTGTTCCGTCGCTGTTTTTAATCAGCATCATCATGCTGTCGGTTTTCCCATAAAGTTATTGCTGACGCTTCTTGGCCTCTCATTGGTCGAATGAACAGATCACGTGAATTTGACCCGCGAGGAGCCAAGAAATAGCAGCATGCTCTCAGCCTGCTGACAAAAAAACTGCGACCGAACAGCACCCGGGTGTCTGTTGCAGTACGAACTGAAGCTCTCCTTAGATCTCACCTGGTGCCTGTTGCAGTACGAACTGAAGCTCTCCTTAGATCTCACCTGGTGCCTGTTGCAGTACGAACTGAAGCTCTCCTTAGATCTCACCTGGTGTCTGTTGCAGTACGAACTGAAGCTCTCCTTAGATCTCACCTGGTGTCTGTTGCAGTACGAACTGAAGCTCTCCTTAGATCTCACCTGGTGCCTGTTGCAGTACGAACTGAAGCTCTCCTTAGATCTCACCTGGTGCCTGTTGCAGTACGAACTGAAGCTCTCCTTAGATCTCACCTGGTGCCTGTTGCAGTACGAACTGAAGCTCTCCTTAGATCTCACCTGGTGTCTGTTGCAGTACGAACTGAAGCTCTCCTTGGATCTCACCCGGGTGTCTGTTGCAGTACGAACTGAAGCTCTCCTTGGATCTCACCTGGTGCCTGTTGCAGTACGAACTGAAGCTCTCCTTAGATCTCACCTGGTGCCTGTTGCAGTACGAACTGAAGCTCTCCTTAGATCTCACCTGGTGCCTGTTGCAGTACGAACTGAAGCTCTCCTTGGATCTCACCCGGGTGTCTGTTGCAGTACGAACTGAAGCTCTCCTTGGATCTCACCTGGTGTCTGTTGCAGTACGAACTGAAGCTCTCCTCAGATCTCACCTGGTGCCTGTTGCAGTACGAACTGAAGCTCTCCTTAGATCTCACCTGGTGCCTGTTGCAGTACGAACTGAAGCTCTCCTTAGATCTCACCTGGTGCCTGTTGCAGTACGAACTGAAGCTCTCCTCGTCCAGCCGACAGCCGGCCTCGGCGGCACAGGGCACGTGGAAGCCACGCCGACAGCCGCGGCCCAGGCAGCCGACCGTGGCGCCCACAACTCCGCACACAGAGCACAGCTGACCGAGAGGGGGGGGGGGAGTCAGACAGGGCGGGCAACTGACCCCACCACTCCGCACACAGAGCACAGCTGACCGAGGGGGGGGGGGGTCAGACAGGGCGGACAGCCGACCCCACCACTCCGCACACAGAGCACAGCTGACCGAGGGGGGGGTCAGACAGGGCGGACAGCCGACCGTGGCGCCCACCACTCCGCACACAGAACACAGCTGACCGAAGGGGGGGGGGTCAGACAGGGCGAGCGGATACAGTAGACAGGCATAGAAAAAGGTCTAGAGAATACAAACATTATACAAGAACTCATCAAATGACACAGTGAACGTACCATGATACAGCGAACAACAAGGATTGAGTGCGTTTATCAAAAGCACACAAAACACAGTTGAATACCAAAAGCAATACAAGAGGCAACAGCCCTCAAAAGTCAACCTTAGCGTCGGCTTCAGGCGAGGACTTTCTTGAAATCCGTTCCACGAAAGCAATGACCGCTGACCAGGCTTTGACTTAGTTGAATGATCTCTGACTTGTCCTGAACTCTGCTCCACAAAATGTGACCTGTCCTGACCTCTGCCCCGCTGAATATGACCTTCACTGGCTTTAACCCCCTATTTTGACTCATCATGACCTCTATCTTGCCCTAGCCTGTCATAACCTCTCCTATGCAACATGTGACCCCTCTTGACTTCTTCTCTACCCTATCCTGTACCCTGCCCTGGCCTCCATCTTGCACTGACCTCTCCCCTGCTCTGCCCTGACCTCTCCTCTACCCACCCTCACCTCGGCTCGACTGGCTGTGATGGCCTCCTCAATACCCTGAATCTTTCCCGCCGAGAGCGTCAGCTGAGGGCTCCACGCCAGACAGGACTCGTGGAACCACGTCTCCAGCCTGTCACCCAGCCGGGCCACCTCGAACTCTATCGGGGTCGAGGAGGTCGGGGTCGGAGCCGGTGCAGCGGCGGAGGGGGTGGAGTCGATCGGCTCTTCCTGAAAGGGAGAGAGAGAGAGAGAGAGAGAGAGAGAGAGAGAGAGAGAGAGAGAGAGAGAGAGAGAGAGAGATAGATAGAGAGAGAGAGAGAGAGGGAGGGGGAGAGAGAGAGAGAGAGAGAGAGTGAGAGAGAGAGAGAGAGAGAGAGAGAGGGAGAGAGAGGGAGAGAGAGAGAGAGAGAGAGAGAGAGAGAGAGGGAGGGGGAGGAGAGAGAGAGAGAGAGAGAGAGAGAGAGAGAGAGAGAGAGAGAGAGAGAGAGAGAGAGAGAGAGAGAGAGAGAGAGAGAGATCCAGTCAGAAGCTTGCCAACATACGAAACGGCAAACGATCATCATTCATTATTCCGGTTGTTCAAAGAGTAACACGTCTAGGTATTGGCGTACGCTCACAACATAAAAGCAAATCACCACGCCAGCTCCGCCTCTTCAGTCAATAGCTCAATTAACCCCCATACAACCCCCACATACTTTGGTCTTCCATACCATTTACCACCCTCCACATTACCACAAACCTACCCAAATCTCCCACACCATTCTATCGCCGCCTCCCCTTTCCTTCCCTTCTCTTCCCCGCGAAACTCACCTGCACATCCCTCTTACTCCGCCTCCTCTGTCTTCCCACCAGCGGCCTCCCCGCCGTCTCTATAGCCTCCAGCCGGCGAGCCACAAAGCACGGCCCCAGCAGATCACCCAATCCATTGGCGTGGGTCCGCCTCCGACAGAACACACACGTCCATGTCGGGTCCACCGCGAACGCGTCGTAGTTCTTGGAGTAGGCGCTGGAGAAGCCGACACGGGGCTGGCCGGCCGCTGAATCCAGGTCACAGGTGATCGGAGGGCGTCGGCCGGTGGACGCCCCCTCGCGGTCTCCCTGGCAGTTAACCACGCGGACTGCCAGCGCGCCGCTACCTCCGCTGGTGCTGGTTCCTCCTACGACGAGGTAGGGACCTCGCAGAGGCTCCGGTCGGCCGCGACCACGTCGCCCTCTCCCGCCGGCTCGCCCGGCAGGCTCGGCGGCGGGCGAGTCGGCTCGACGCCGGCGGCGACCGGCCGCTCGACGCCGTCTCCGTACCGGCGCGGCAGGTGGCGCTGCCTTCGCCGGAATAGAGGACGCCACTGTCGCCGACTCGCCGTCACCAGCCGCAGCGTCCGCCGCCGCTGTGGCGGTGATATCCCCGGCTTCAGTGGCGGTTTTTGGAGCGGCAGAGGCGGGTCCAGAGGCGGTGGAGGCGGGGGCGGAGGGTGCCGCCGACGGCCCCGAGCTGCCGTCCGTGGCCTGCCAGCTCTTCTTGGAGCCGTCGTCGTTCCAGCAGCGCCACTTGGCCTCCCAGTCGGCGGCCGAGACGCTGCGGACAAAAGACGGACGGAAAGGTCACACTGCTGTACCGACGCATACTGAGAAATTTCGGCACTACATGACTGCTTTCAGGAAGGCAAACAACGCAGGGCTCGGCATGAATATCAAAAGAGTGAATATCAAATAACTGAATACAGAATATCAAATATCAGCATGAATATCAAACTTATGCTGGCAGCTTTTCGTGAGGGCCGGTTTATAGCGACTTTCTACGCTACAGCAAGATATATCAAGTTACATGCTTGAAGAGCTCCCCGACAAAACGTCAAAGTAAAGCAGCCTCAAAGAACAACACAACGGCGCAATCCTTCCACCCGCAATGCGACCGCCCAGCAACGCAAGACCAGGAGTTTTTACAGACACCCCGCTGCGCACGACAGACCGTACCACACACTGCAACCTTACCGCTTCCCTTGCTCCCTTAAGTCCCTGTTCGAGCTCCCTGTTCCCTGTTCCCAGCATTTCCCTGTCCGATCCTCTATCTCGCATCTTATGGCGTTGCAAGATGAGGATGGCTTTGGTATCTAAAATTAACCATTCGAGCTCTACTTTAGTCTGACAAAGCTAAGAAAGAACGGATTTAAAGTGCAACAATTATTGATCCAGGTGATTCTTAAGATAACTTCCAACACGCCTGACATTTTTTGTCAAATTTAAGCACAGGTTTGAGCTACAGGCGTCGACAATGTCCAATGCACGTCTTAAGTGCTTCGAGACGCATTAGCTCCGTTCTTTCTTAGGTTTGTCAGACTATATTTCGGGAAAGTGACGCTCATCTATACCTACCCTTCCGGGGCGGCGGGCGGCGTCGTCCCCGCTCCGTCCACCGCCACTGGCGAGTGTTCGGTCTCTCCCGAGGGGCCGGCACCGTTCACAGGTCTCTCCCGAGAGGTGCGTCTCACCGGGGCAGAGCTGGCCGGGTCCTCCTCTGTCACCGACCTGAGGTCAGGTGGGGAGGGGGTGGGGCTAGGGTCAGGTGAGGTAAGAGGTGACCTGAGGTCAGCCGGCAGGGGGGTGACCTGGGTTCAGGTGGGGTAAGAGGTGACCTGAGGTCAGCTGGATAATCAGGTAACCGGAGATCGGCTGGTGGGGTTAGTGATTGAACGGGGCCAGGCGATGGACCACGGTCAGGCGAAGGCTCGAGGGGGGATAAGTTGACCTAGGATAGGCTTGAGGTGACCTGATGTCAGGTGGTTAGAAAACCTAGGGCGGGAGGGTTCTGATATAGTATAAGATCAGACAGAGGGTAAGAAGTGGTTTGGGTCAGGTCAACCATGAGCAGCTACATGTCGAGTGTAATAAGGCCAGGAGAAGTTCCCGGCTCCGCAATCATTCTTAGAGGCAGGCGCGCTGGAGGCTGGATTTGTGCACGGCACAATATCCGACTAGCCTGAATGAAGCAAACAGCGAAGCGCAAATGACACATCAATCCATAACGATACGACTGCAGACCAAAGACGGTAACACAGCGAGACACAGCCAGCGAGAGACTGAGGCAAAGAGCAGTGTAGATAGAGGACAATAGTCAACACAAAATGGCCCCACCTAGCCCATCGACAGGGCGAGTTCCACGCCATTCTCTCCGCCCTCTTCCTCACCTGGTCCTGGAGCGCGTCTTCCCGGACGGCGTCCCAAACGGCTCCTTCATGTCTATCGTCAGGTCACCCCTCTTCCTCCTCTTACGCGGCACTCGTGGCGCCGCGCCGTGGCCGTTTACCACACCAGTAGTTCGTTTCGGCACCGCAGGGCGGCGCTTGGTTAGCGGCCGGCGTGTAACAAAGCCAGAGGCCGGCCGGCGGCGGCGCCGGCGCCTGGCGCCCGGCCGCGGCTTAGTTCGCGCGTCGGCCGCTGGAGGCGCCCCCGTCGCGGTGCCGCTGCCGCTCGCCTCGGCTGGCTCGGTGAGGGGCACTTTCCGCGGCCGGCCTCGTTTAGCGGGAGATGACACACCCGCAGCACCGCTCGGTCCCGCCCCTGATGAGTCCGCCGCCGGCACTGCCGCGTCCGCACCTTTCACTGTAGCGTCCACTGCGCTGGTTGAGCTCACACCATCCTTCCCCACTTTCTGTACCCCATCCACCCCTCGCTCGGCACCGCCTTCACTCATATCTACATCGTCACCGCCCACCGACTCGAGGTCATCGATGTCCTCTCTCACAGCCATAGCGTTTGTATCACTCCACTCTGACACCGACACCAGTTTGGGGTCCGTCGGTCCAGCGACGCCGGCCGAAGGCGGTTTGGTCACCACCTTCAGTTTCCTTCTACCTTTCTGCGCTACTGGACCACCCAGCTTCACCTTCTTATGTCGCGCAATCAGCCTCGTCGGCGAGGCGGTCAGCTTCCTCTTTGGCGTCTGCTGCTTCCTCCTGTGCGCCTTGACGTCATCCGGAGACGGTCTAGCGGCAGCCAAAGCTATCTTGGCGGCTTGAATGGCAGCTAGAGCGGCGGCAGAGGCACGAGCGTCAGCCACAGCATCAGCGACAATCTCTGCATTGGCGGGAGCTTGGCGGACCACCAACTCCTGCTTCCTTCGACTCTTGGACGGCGACTCGGCCGCCGCGGGGGCGGGAGCAGCAGGGGCGGTGGCGGGGGCGGGGGAGACGCCGTTGGTGAGGACTGGGGCGGCAGACTGGGCGGGTGCCACCACCGCTGTAGATCCACTGCTGAGTGTAGATGGGGCCGTGCCGATCACAGTATCGTTTGTACCGGTGACAGGAGCACCGCTAGCCGACGGGACGGCCGCGCCGGTCTCCATGGCAGCGTCACAGTGGTCGCCGGTGGTATCTGAGGGGACAAGCCAGATGTCAGAGGGGTCATTCAGACGGTCACATCACAGTGAGATCACAGAGGGTCATACACATCACATCACACAGAGGGCGGTTCACATTTGTGTCAGAGGGATAACACATCAGAGCGGCATGTTACGAGAGTCATATCGGAGAATCGCAAAAGAGTGATCACGGCAGAAGGGTCACATTAGAGCATCAGGTCATAGGTTCACGTGGAGATGGAACACATCAGAGGGGTCAAATCAGATTATCACAGTAGAGTAGCGTCAGGCTGCGTATAACGTCGTGTTATGAAGTCGTGTCACATCTCAGGATAAATCTACGAGCCGAGACCGTAGCACGGGACTGCACACGGCACTGACTCTGAGTCTGAGTCACTCTGAGTCACCGGAGTCAGTAACCGGCCTCACCGACTCCGGTTACAGTGGCGGACAAGGGGGGGGGGGGGTCTCAGGTCGCCCGGGTCACGTTAGTGGGTGTTGGGTTCGCGGAGGTTCGCGGCGGACATAGGTGGCGCTAGTGTAGTTATAGAAGCGAGCGATGCTAACAGGCTGCAAAGTCGTGAGGGCTCGCGGCACAGTATGCTGCAAAAATTATCACGATAACAAGACAGAGAAAGTTGCGTGAACGAAACAGACAGCATATGGAAGTGTAGCAGTGTGCTTACGAATCAATACTTGACATATGGACTAGTCAAATAACGCACAATGAGGTTATTGGGGCATGTGACGTTTAGCTAAGCGAATACCAATGCATCGAAGTAATTGAATGATGAGGTGAAAAGTAACTCTAGCCCAGACGAGTAACTCATAAATATTGATAGGTCTAGAGAAAAACTAACATTCGTGTCACGGTTCGCAAGTTTGCAATCGATAAATGTGAAGTGACATGTCCTTATTTTGTAATCTGCACCAACGCAAAGATAAAGTGGTATATTTATTTCGGTGCAGTTCTCTTGAGAGTTATTGAAGCATGAATAGCAATATAAATTTATTTGCCTGTAAGCAATGAATACAATACAGGTAAGTGAACTCATGCACACCTATTGAAATGAGAAGGAAAAGAAGGAAATAATTAGGTACACCTAAAAATGGATAACACAAGAACCAAGTAAGCGATAAAACGAGTCATAAGCGATTCAACTTATATTAAATATGGAAATAAAATATACGGAGTTTTTCCTACAAAATACAGGCAATAAGTACAATAAGTAATAAATACAGGCAATTACATAGGCGCGGGAGCCGGGGGGGGGGGGCAGTGGGGGCAGCTTGCCCCCCCCCCCCCCGCCCCCAACTCTGGGGCCGTGGGGGCGGTGCCCCCACAGCTTTGAGACGGAATACCACACTTTTTTTGCAAATGTTTTCTTTTTTTGTTGAAAAAGCCGAGGGGTGAAAAATAAGTAGCCTAAAACCGGTGAGAAAACTAGATTTGGGGGTACCCTAGGTTGATCTCTATTATGGTGTGCCCCCCCCCCCCCCCAGTCGGAAAGTAGTTCCCGCGCCCCTGGGCAATTAGTGAAAAGCGACTCGAAAATGAAAATGCAGTGACCACTTTCGTCTTTCGACTTATCACAAGGGCAAAGTAGCGCCAAGGCCGGGTAACAGCCGGGTAACACTAGGATTTAAATGTCTTTGTTGGGTTGGCGTTTACCAGCCATGCGACTACGAGGCTATTTGCGGGATAAATCGGTAATCGAGCACGTCAAAGCGCTCGTCCGTGGTCGTGTCCGGTGTCGTCGTCTCGTGTCCACAACACACGGGAGGAGGTATGCAATGTGGCAGCGATGGGTGGGGCACTTGGCACTTGGCACTTGGCACTTGCACCGCACCAAACGGTTGCAAAACATGCCCCGCGCGTATTACTGAAACGCCCCGAGCACATTTTGCGTCCGTGGAGTGGACAAAGGACGTCTGTCAGGACGGGGTTGTTGCATGTCATCATTCGCAAAATCACATTCGCGAATTAACCGAATGCAATGAATAAAGTATACTAACTATCTTACTGTGTGTAGGCACCCAAAAAGGGAACCGTAATTACAACATTTGGTGAATGGCTAGTCAAGAAAAGCCACCACAAAATACTTATATTCGGTAATTCACCATCAAGACACCGAGACAATAACGGAAATTTATAAATTTTATACGGTTAATTATGAAATTGTATGCTTTCATATTATACCGAATCTTGGCAGCATTGCATTTCGTCAATACTTAATTTATTATTGCATTTTTTAAACGCTATAACACAAATATAAAGTAAACGGTGCTCTGTACCTAAATATGCAATGTCCAATGGATCCTTCAACCTGCAGCACACCGCACCACTTTTAATGTTTCAATAAATGATCACAACCCATTCTTGCCTTCCCTATCAGATATCACGTGATTTAAATTAATCACTAAGCAAAACATACCGGACGATTTTATTTGATATCACCCATCACCGGCAAGTCACTGACAACAACTGGCAACAGGCAACTACGGAAATTTCTCAACATTCGCGTAATATTAGTCAGCTGTTGTATAAGAGGCGCAGTATTTAGTGACGTCACTAAATCACGGAATGTAACAAAATGGGTTGATAGGCAAAACGGCAATTATTACAAGGATTAATAAAACTGACGTTATTTGAGTAAAACACGATAACTTGGCCTTACCATGCTTGTAAAAATGTTAAACGTGCCCATAAACATCTTACATCAGGCGAAAAAAAAAACATTCCAAGGAAACTTGCAAGATTCAGAAAATTCCCAAAACCTTCGAGAGCCAAGTGCTATCGATAACATACATTCTAGGAAATATAAAAAAAATAAAAAATTTCAAGGAAAGCTAAGATCCGCTACTATTGCACCAAATCCAGCGCTCCCACCAACGGCCGGTTAGCTCAGTTGGTTAGAGCGTCGTGCTAATAACGCGAATGTCGTGGGTTCGACCCCCACACTGGCCAAGCTTTTCTCACCGGGCCGAAAGTAGACGCCCACTGCGAGCTCGTCCCTCCTTGGACATTACCATCAACCCTGTGCCGTATACAGACCTGTCGCAGGTTTCGTGATTTCATTTTCTTGCTGTGGCGGCTGCTGAGTAGGCTGTTCCGGCAAATGTTTGATAGGTGCAGGCTCTGACTCCGCAACAGCTCCCTCCATCTTGAATTATAAGCGACTGTAAAAGAAGCAGGTAGAATCAAGTTCAGCAATGTTGTTTTACTAATTTACAAACGCCTCAGTGAAAATACGACAGTGCCGCTGGTCGTAAGTATCAGAACATATCACTTGCGGCAACACCTAAACTGGGAACGATGTTATGGCGATTTTTTTTTGTAAGAATCATGATCTTATTCGAGAGCGGAAGCACTGTAATAAAAAAATGTTTTTCCCGTTCCAGACTCCCGCACCACTTCCCAGCAGTCATGGACCAAATCATCAGGAAAATTGTCCCCCTGGAGTTTTTAAATTGTAAAATCACGCCGTCCTTTGTGTCATGGAAATGCCACAAATCAGATACTGAACTACCACCTATCTCCCTGTTAACCGCCCAGCAGTGGATGGTTGGTTCGTGTTCGTGTCGAGTGTTATTTTCAGTGTGTGTGTGTGTTCCCACTTCCCAATGTTATTTCAAAAACGGTTGAATAGTTGGATGCTAGCTAAATGTAAATGTGTTAAATGTACTATCCGCTTTTTCATGCAAGACTGGCCGATAAACGGTGCAAACTACAAAGTTCTTTCGTCGGGTTCAGATGTCTTAGAAATGTGATGAAGATATTATTTTCTTTTTGCTGTTAAAAACAAGTTACTTGCAAGGCCCGCACGCAACTTTACTAAACCCCGTGAAGCTGCGTTCGATAAGCGATCGTCGGAACCGATAAAAGACCCCGCAACAAACCGGAGCCGGGTCATCTGAGACACCGTGGTGTGCGGTAGAGATGTCAATCGGATACCTACTTTTTGGTAGGTATACCGATACCAAACCGATACCAATTGGCAATTTGGTATTTGGTATTTCAGTCCTAATGTACTTGGTATTTTGTTGGTATTATGAGCCCTCGCTTATGTATAAGAAGACTGAGAAATTGGTAAAAAGTCGGTATTTCCATCATGTTATGAAGTTGGTTCGGTATCGGTATTTCCTTACGGTTTATGTTGGGATTTGGTTTGGTATCGGTATTCAGATTTTCTGTAATTGACATCACTAGTGTGCGGTCTTCGGCCGCGTACTGCGTCGAGCCCCTCCCTCCCCACCCTCCTCCCAGCAAACTCCATCCCGCAGCAACTGTTGCTAATCCCTATGGAATATCGCCTACCCCCCCCCCCCCCCCCCCCCCAAGAGTTCCCATCCTATCCCCACGCAGGACCGCCGCCCCCAGGCAGTCGGCCGGACGGAACGTAGTCAGCTGTTAGCCGGCATCGATCAGCTGACTGGGACCTCGCACAAGGTAGAGTGCGCGTCTGTGGCACGTGCTGCCCCTCCCCTCTCTCTTACCTTGGGGGCGAAATGGCCGGGGAGAGTGAACACGTAGCCTCAGTTAAATATTTCAGAGGCATAAAATATTTTCACACGCGAAAATGAGTCCAAAATGTACCTGCGCAGTGCGCACATTGTTGCCCACGGGAGAACAATGGAGGATAGGAAAACGTATGGGTGGGATAGGATGCGGCACAGGACGATGATGCAGCTTTGGTTTAATGTGAATTACATTTAGGAAGTACAGCTCGGCCATAAAAGAAAGCTGAACGCCGTTAGCGTCCTAACGCACGTGTTCGCCCGACGGGGATTGGTCACTGGCAGTTGGCAACGAGCCAGCGACCGGATATAGCCCCGGGCGGTGACTGTCAAGGTCACGACTCAACGAATGGTAGGAGGAACTTATACACTACAGCTATTAGGAATGACCATATAAGTATGCCCCGGTCAATTGCAATGACCTCTGAAAATACTAGCGTTTCCAGTTTGCATAATAGGCCTCAAAGTAGGAGTAAAAATTCAAGTGTGAACATTATATCGAGTTCTAAATGTAGATACATAAAAATATACGTCAAAGAGTAGAAAGCACAAGGCTCGAAAGATAAAAAACTAAAACGAAAATAACTATGCCTAAGGTTTGTTCAAAATAATAGGTGGGTCTCGCAGAAAAAAAGAGTAGGTAGGGGAAGGTGGGGTAAGACGGACCAGCTAAGGTTTGAGGCCACATATCTTGCTACACTGCTCTCGTAATTCATATCATTTATAGTCTTCGGAATGCTCAATCCTTCCTCTGTTGATATGTGTAAAGACTAAATTTCAACTTAAAGACATCTAGGTGGTGGATGCCCTCAAAGAGGGACATGTCAAAAACTCAGACAAGAAAAAACGTGGGGTAAGACGGACCACACAGCAGTGCCTGCTATCCGTTCATGTGTGTTACACTTCTGCTCTGTACTCTTGTAAGAAAAAGTAACCAGAATGGTAAAATAACAAAATGAGCCTTTATTCTTTACTCATGTGTGATGGAAGTGCAGCTAAAAGCTGGGAACATGTGTGTTGATTGTCGTTTGGCATGAATGCATGCTAACTGAGCACTTGCATGCATGGCTCACATGCAACAAAGACTCCTTCCTGAAAAATTAGCTTACTTAAACTTGTGTCAATGTTTTGGAAAAGAACTTTCCATATGCAGGGTACAATGGACCACCACAGGGTAAGATTGCCCCAAATCTAAATTCTGTCATTATCATGACGTATATGTCAAATAGCCCAACATTGCAAAACCTTGCCTTTCCTAAAGTGTGACTATAACTAAGTTTATAACTTTGTTCTTCACAGTTAAGTGCAAAATAGAAACTAATCATGCAAGAAAGGCGCCGTAATTGAATCACCCGTAGACCTCTTATATTAGATCGGTTTGACGAAAAACAACATTTTTCTCAATAACTCAAAAGCTATGCATCCTAGCAGCATGAACTCAAGGTGTCCATTGTTACGAAGGAAAACAAGCATAGTGAGTGCATAAAGCAGTAGATACCAGCAGCGGTTCAGCCGGGAGGGCTGGTGGTCCGTCTTGCCCCGCTGGGCCGTCTTACCCCACCTTCCCCTATAATGGTTACTTTAGGTATAATTCTTACAAGATAGCAAGCTACAGAGAAGTCTACAATAAATTATATTTATTGTCTTTCATATCGCTCGTATCTTATCTCTAAAAGCGTAAATATCGATTCCTACATATATCAATTTAACAGGTCAGTGCAGGGTCGGCAGTCAGCACCCTCGTCGGGAGACGTTCTATTCGATAGGGCCAGAAAAAGGACTGGTCGGTCCTCTCCCTGACGAAGCTGAGCCAGATATTTCCCCCTTTTTTACGACCCATCCGGCCTACATGGAACGGTCACACATGTGTGATCCACATGGCTGGACGGCGGGTCTGCCCTCAGGGTCGGGCGGCAGCATGGAAGGGATGAACGGGACGGTGAAATAAAACAAAGAAAGCAGGTGGACATCAGGGCAGGGGATTAGAGAGGAATGAATGTTCAACCCCGAGGTTGCTGATTTACAGCCGACATCTTACAGAAAAAATAAATCGATACATTCTCCTAAACTAGCACTTTCTTGTATAATTAAAACTAGAGGATAAATCTCGCAACGAACCCAACAATTTTGCATTTCGCCAATTGGATTCTGCCTATTTTGCTTTAAAAAAAAACAGCGATAGTAGAACAAAATCCCTCAAATTTACAAATTTTGCTGTGATCTGACCGTTTATGATGACCTTCAAGGAAACGGTGTGTTTTCATTAAATATTTTCCGTGAAAAAAAACGTAACATCCGAAAGCAAAATAAGCCGTCTGCCTTCCCAATACAATGCGTAAAGAAATACCTACGCAGAAATAATCCTGTTAATGATAACTAATAATGCAAAAGGACCAATGACATTCCTAATAGGCTGAAGAGGTAATTTTATTATTTTACCTACTTTTGCTTTGTTTTTATTCTATTTTTACGTTTTTCACGAGACACTAAAAAATAAGCCTAATGAAAATGTAAACAAATGCATGACCAAGTAACGATGCCTCGATATCATACCTCGTGCTAATGTAACGATTTTTGACAATGACCTTGCGCTTGGTGCCCGGAAACCTACGCCAAGGCGATAAATCGGCGTCAAAACATGCTCAGATCGGTTCATCTGCGACAGTTGAACTTAGCGAATCGATAAAACTAATTTTATGTTCCTCACATTATGTTTGACCCCTATGTTAAACATCATATCACAAAACAAACACTGCAACCGCCAACAACACAAAACACCAAAGAAATGTGAAAACAACACCCGATGCCCATGCCAACGGAAATCCATCCGTCCCATTCGCGATCACTTCACTGACACCAGTCACCTTCATGCACTCATAACATTACCAACATTACCCATTACCCACACAACCTTTCCCATTACCCACATGACTTACCTCACGGCCAATATTCACCACGCCAGCGTACGGTTCAGTTCATTCAGTGCCCGGCCGCCGCGCCGGACCCCAGCGTGGAGCCCTTACCGCCGACAAGCATGGCCTACCGTCTCCAGCCGGGAACGTCTGTTGCCGATACGAGTCGAAAAGATCACACGCGACACGATCTTTCACTCGGAAATGTGAAGCACAAAACGGACTTCCACGTAACACTGATGGGTTGTAAATATGAGGGTGTGAAGAAGTGTCGAGCGAATCGGAATAATATCGGGATTCCGCACGGGCGACACACAAGCACGGCGTAACAAATAGACGGCCACCGGACGGCCTTCGCCCCGTAGCGATTAACTGCCGAGACGACCGGTAGATGGCAGCAGCTACCGGCAGGGGCGCTGGCCGCAGCAATATGCGAAGGGATGGGGAGGGGGAGCGTACGGTCGAATGTTGAGAGATAAATTGAAGTTTTCTTAACTTATAGTGTAGATGGTTTGGGAAAACTTCATTGAGATGGGCATGGTCAAAGAAATAAAACAATTCCGATCAACAATAAAAGTGATGCGATTTATACCTATGCGTCAGCAACGTCGCACGTGGACAAAGTGCATATATTTAACTACCGTATTTATTTGGCATTAGTCTGTAAAAATATTTTTATTTTTGTCAGATACGATTTTTGTATGATGTAATTTCTAGCCTTCATAAATGTTCTGAAAACAATTTTACATTAAAATAAGAACATATTTCTTACTTGCCCAGTATCAATACCGTTTACGCGGCCTTCACGGGCAATGGCTCGGGTCAATGGTTGGTAGCATTAGGCTCCCATACTGTCGCTAGGTAGACGGTTCCTATGCAAGTCCACAAATCAGACGGCTGAAATTCCTGCCGGGTTGTTTTATGCTCGACCAATGGAGCAAATGCGCTAATGGGGTTAAAATTATGCTGGAAGAAAGAGCTTGCTCATTGCTCAATGCTCATTTTAACGGATACCATTCACTGAAGACACGCGAATGGAATGAGAGATTTACACTCTATTATTAAAGGGACCCTCCCACCTTAACATTAGATTTGAGTTGAGATAGCCAAAATGGGGTCCCTGGCTCACAATTACCGGTTTCGACACTCATAACATCGAAAAATGCCTTAAATCGGAAATATTGAATTTCAAAATTGCAGCATTTTGATTCAGAGGGGCTAATGCATTGGAATACCCCTCTGAATGTGTGACGTCAGCGCAGATATCTAACGATTTTTAAATGTTTGACTAAAACGTTTTGTAGCACGCGGTGGTATATGCTGCGTTGCGCGCAACAAATGCCGCACTTATAAATAAAGTCGCTAGGAACAGCGGAGATCCCAAAAAGTAAACAAAAGTAAAAGTCTAATATCTTGAAAACCGGTGAATATTTTTCGATGAAATTTGGTAGATATTGGTTTTCGCTCTTTCTGAACCGAGCGACATCACTTTCTTGCCAATTCATTAACTTTTTTGAAGGTGGGAGGGTCCCTTTAAAGGGACCCTCCCACCTTAACATTAGATTTGAGTTGAGATAGCCAAAATGGGGTCCCTGGCTCACAATTACCGGTTTTGGCACTCACAACATCCAGAAATGCCTTAAATCGGAAATATTGAATTTCAAAATTGCAGCATTTTGATTCAGAGGGGCTAATGCTTAGGAATACCCCTCTGAATGTGTGACGTCAGCGCAGATATCTAACGATTTTTAAATGTTTGACTAAAACGTTTTGTAGCACGCGGTAGTATATGCTGCTTTGCGCGCAACAAATGCCGCACTTTCAAATAAAGTCGCTAGGAACAGCGGAGATCCCAAAAAGTAAACAATCGTGAAAAGTCTAATATCTTGAAAACCAGTGAATATTTTTCGATGAAACTTGGTAGATATTCGTTTTCGCTCTTTCTGAACCGAGCGACATCACTTTCATGCCAATTCATTAACTTTTTTGAAGGTGGGAGGGTCCCTTTAAAGGGACACTCCCACCTTAACATTAGTTTTGAGTTGAGATAGCCAAATTGGTGGCCATGGCCTGCAAATACCGGTTTGGGCACTCACAACATCGACAAATGCTTTAATTCGGAGATATGGAATTTCAAACTTGCAGTTTTCGGATTCTAAGGGGCTAGTGCTTTGGTATGCCCCCTTAGAATTTGTGACGTCAGCGGAGATCTAACGATTTTTAAATCTTTTACTAAAACGTTTGGTAGCACGCGGTGGTATATGCTGCTTTGCGCGCAACAAATGCCGCACTTTCAAATAAAGTCGCTAGGAACAGCGGAGATCCCAAAAAGTAAACAAAAGTAAAAGTCTAATATCTTGAAAACCGGTGAATATTTTTCGATGAAATTTGGTAGATATTCGTTTTCGCTCTTTCTGAACCGAGCGACATCACTTTCGTGCCAATTCATAAACTTTTTTGAAGGTGGGAGACTGGGAGGGTCCCTTTAACAAAAAAGCTTCAAAAAACATTTCGTCGATGCCCCAGTAAAAAACAGTCCTCTCCGTCTCCTCTTGACCATCGTTTTTCGATGCCGTTTGTAAAAACGTACAAAGGCATTCGATGAAGGGTTTTAGTCAAATACAAAATGTTACTAAAAATAAATATTAACTCAATCCGAGTACCTTTTATATTCTTCTTATACATGTCATATACAAGCCTTAGCTTGTATCCTTTATGGCCGGGGCAAGGTCCGAAGTCTGTTCAGCGTAAAACGTTTTTTTTTATTGATTCGATAAATGTAGCAACGAGATATACAACTTTTTATTGATTCGATAAAAGATACCAACGAGACATACAATTTAACTTAAATTTAATTTTAAATTTAATAATTTAATTTAATTTAACGCGCCCCGCTGGGGGGGGGGGCAGAATCTGCCCCCTCCCGTTTTTCGCCAATAACTTCTAAACGCGTTACACCAGCGACGTCAAACTTTCAGTACCTTATCACACATCAATTTGACACGTTCCCTGAAAATTTGAGCGAAATCTGTCGGAAAATTGTTGAGAAATTGACGTTTTAGTGACGTCATGTTCGCCATTTTCGCCTCAAAAACGGCAAAATTTCAAACGCCGCTAACATCTTCATTTTTAAAGGAATCAAGGCGTAACAAAATGGTTATACGTGATTCTACTTTGTATATCAAAAGGCTATCTCGGTTTTTTGAAAATTCTGGATTTTGGCCCAATTTTTTCTTTAAAAAACTGACTTTTCGGGAAAATAATTATAAAAGCCGAAATATTAAGTGTATCGAAAAAACCGGAATATATGTCAGGGAAGTGGTCTATGTGCACCTACATACCAATTGTTAGAAGAATCGGTTAAAAAATGTGGGAGTTATTAAAAAATTTATGACGTCACGCACACACAAATTTTGAAAAATGTTTTTTTGAGGTTCTAGACCTCGTACGGAAACAAAAACAGCACCATTCGATTCGCCGTGAAAAACTGCATCAGACAGACACCTTTTTAGGCCTTAACAACCAACTTCAAAATTTGACCTCACTTGACCTGACCTTGACCTGACCTCGACCTGAAATTCATCCAGAGGTGGTCCATATCACTTATCGAGTGTGCCTATTGAATTATATGAGTAAAATGACCAATAAAACATGTGTCGCACATGCCTTTTCTATATTTTGTTTTTGGTGACCTGACCTGACCTGACCTGACCTTGACCTTGACCTTTGAATGACATTGTATGCAACGAATATGTCTTGATAGTCTAAGAACACGTTTTGGGCAATCAGTCTCAGTCCATTCTTCGGCAACTACGGTGCAAGGGCGATACTGTATAGAAACTTGCATTTTGTACCCTTACCTGACCTTGACCTGACCTCTGACCTACTTAAGCAAAAAAATTGGGCTCTTAAGATCCGCCTTGTTGAGAGCTTTCGATTGCCGTTTTCCCCGTCTTTCTACGACCATCGGTTCGGAAGTTAGACAGGGGGGGGCAGAATCTGCCCCCCCCCCCCCAGCAGGGCGCGTATGGCTGAATAGCCCAGCGGGGCGCGGGTTAACCTTCGCCCCAGTTGGGGGGGGGGGGGCATATGTTACCATCCTGTCGCGTTGTTTGCGTGTGAATAAAAAACTGCGGCGCGTAGCGCCGCGCCACTTAGAGAGCAGCTTTTTGTACATCAATTTTGGACAATGTGTGAAATTTTTGACCCCAGGTCATGTCAGATCAGGTCACCAGGTCAAGTTAACCCGCGCCCCACTGGGGTCTGCGTATAACACGCCCTACTGGGGGGGGGGGGGGCTCTCCGGCCCCCCTCCTATAAACTCCGAAACTACTGGGCCGATGGTCAAAATTCAAACGGCGTCTGAGAGCCCCGGAAAAACTGTCGAGGAGCGAAACCTATTTTCATTGACCTCGAGGCCACCGATAACGTCACAGGTCAGGTCGAAGTAAAAATTATTAGCATTTTTGCTTGTTTACATTTTGGGCTCTGGCCGCCGTCTAACAAGTCAGATTAGGCTCATTTTTAGATCTAGGAAAGTTACCGAACGATTCAAACGGCTTTCGATATAGCCCCACCGGGAAACTATGTACATTGTGACCGAACTTCATTGACCTGGGTGCAGCTGATGTAGTCACAGGTCAGGTCAACCGTCAAAGTCGCATTTTTCACCGTTTATGGGCCTTCTAAGGAATGCGTCATAACATCGAAAAACACCTAAGATGTGTTCAGGTCGACAATAGATATGGATCAACTGACATGCAACTGACCTTTTTTCCAGTCAAGTCATGACCTTGACCTTGTGTCAAAGTTCCAAATGACCTTTTAAAGTCAAATTGTAGTTCAGTTGGCGCGTCTCGACGAGAGAAACACGATGCCGACAAAAGAAATGTCGAGCCCATAGATATAAAGGCGTGGAGCCTGTCTTGAGCCAAGTTATTTTAACCCGCATCGTGCTGGGAGGGGGGTGTTTTTACGCCCCCCCCCCTCCCCTCAGGTTTTTCGCATTTCAAAAACGGCGGCGCGCAGCGCCACCGTTTTTGGTACACCTGTTCATCCATAATTTCCGCATACCTATGTTGTGAAAAATTTTAGACCCGGGTCGTTCAAGGTCAGGTCACCAGGTCACGTCAAGTGACCTTACCTCTGAAAAGTTCAAAGGCTCGCTATAGCCACTCCGACGGAACGATTACTTTGAAGCTTTCAGCGCTTGATATGAGTAACAGTAGGTATGTATAAAATGTACATATATCTCGGATTTTTTATATATGTGACCTAAGGTCAGGTCAATTTTGCGACCTCTCCATTATGTCTAAGTCAATGGGAGAAAATTGAAATGCGCCTCTTTTGGACGGACGACGTTCAAAACGCTCTCAAACATCGGTTCACTAAAAAATGACACATTGAATCGGAAAAATGCACCTATGTCTGTCTGCACCTATGTCACAAATGTCTGTTACCCCTGAGGTCATCTCAGTTCATGAACGGTCACCAGCAGTTTTTTTTTTTTTTGCTATAACTTTTGATAGAGATGTGCTAGAGCGGTGAAAACTCATCAGATGTGTTCAGCTCCACGATACGGATCGACTAATATGCAACATGACCTTTTCCGGTCAGGTCACGACCTCGACCTGAGGTCAAATTTTAAAAATGACCTTTCAAGGTCTACAAATAGTTCATTCGACGCGTCTCGACGAGAGGAACACAATGCTGCCAAAAGTAATGTCGTGGCTGTCTTGAGTCAAAAGTTATTGCCGAAAAACATTTATCGTGAAAACGGCTATTTTTACAGTTTTTGCCCTCTGGAAGCTAAACCGTAGACCTGAGGTCAAATCTGAGAGCAAGTATCAGAAAAGTCTGTAAAAGGGCTATCGAATGCGCCTTTCCGCAGCGCTGTAGCTCAATTGGTTCCCGAGTTAGCCGTTGGCAGTTTAAAAAATTATTGAAATTGACTGAATTTGACCTTTAATGACCTCTGGTGACCTGACCTTTGACCTGAACTTAAAAATGACTAGGATGTTTTCTTCCTTATTTTTGACGCTCTTTCGATTGCCGCTTACCGCATGTCGCTACGTGGCCCCGGAGCCGAGTTAGAAGGGGGGGGGTCGTGAAAACGCCCCCGCCCCCAGCACTCTGAGGAAAGTTCAGGCCACTAGCAATGGGTTTAATAGTGTAAAACGACAATTTTACGTTTTTGCTCTCTGGACTCTGGAGTCTAATCGCTAAGCCGTTGATCTTACGTCAAAGCTGAGAGCTTGCTCCAGAAAGACCGTTAAAACAACTATCGAATGCGCTTTTCCGCGGCACTTTGGCTCTATTATTGGTTCCCGAGTCGTGCCAATTTGTAAAAAAAAAAATATTTATTGAAATAGGCAAAGTATTAGGTACATTTGATGACCTCCGGTGACCCGACCTTTCACCTAAGCTAAGAAATGGTTTAAGTACTTTCCTCATGATTTTTGACGCTCTTTTCAATACCGCATGTCGCCAAGTGGCCCAGGAGCCGAGTTAGACGGGTGTTTTAACTGAGCACCCTCCCCGGCACGGTTGGCGCCGAGCATCGGCCCGGCGCGGGTTAAAACTGTGACTAGACATTTACATTTTTAAGGAGAAATTTCTGAGTTTAACCCTCACCGGACCTAATCGGTTTTCTACATGCGTCCCGGCCGAGATGCCAGGTGGTGGGGAACTAGGGGAGGGGGCGACTCACGTCGCTTTTTCACCCGTAATTGAGCTACAGCCTCGCAGAAGAAATAAGAGTGCGGCGTTACGAGACGAAGCAAATGGTATCCAATTGTAAGGTCTCAGGTCAACTGGTGACCTCAGAGGTCAGGGCGAGTACACCAACGTTCGAGTACCTACGCTTTTTGGTAAATAGCTTCGCCAAAAAAAGGTCGCAGTCACAATTTTAGCACCATCGTGTGCAGAGTCACAATTTTAGCACCATCGTGTTCTCCATGCTCAGACGCGTCGAATGCTACACTAATGTTTAGGTGAGGTCAATTTAAGGTGCTGACCTCTCGTCAAGGTCCGGTCAGAGACACACTGCACACAGGTCACGAAGCTCCTCGAAGGATTTCATATCGCATCATTCGATTCGGCGGGTCTTTCCAAGTCCATTGGTGGCTTTCAAAACTCGCTAACTCAAATTGATCGGGAGCTATTGACGAAAAACTCATATAACCGTAATGACGTCACCCAAGGTGTAAAAGTGAAACATCATACCTTGCAATGAGTATGTTCATGAAGTTATGATTTGATGTGCTTGAGGTAGCTTTTGAGCATTCTCGGCGCCGAAATAACAGCTTCCATATTTCCACCATTGGCTGATAATGGTGAGCTCATGTGACCGACCTGACCTCAGCTAACCCGTAATGAAAAAAATCCGAGATGAGCTTATTGCAAGGCCTAGCTGGAAGATACGAGTAGGGGAGACTGGGGAGAAGTGGGACATTATTTTGACGTCAACTTTGAAAAATCGTAAAAAATAGAATATTTAAGATTTAAGTAAATTGATTGCATTTACTGGTAAACGGTTTATTTCTTCTTCATTCTGTACTGTTTTTATGCGTGTTTGTTCACGTGTTACTTCTCAAATTTAAATTTTAGGCAAGGCCCTATATACCAGGTAGGGTCGTCCGGCGATTCTACCTTTTCGTGACGTCAGCTCGTGACGTCATTTGGAGTCAAGTCTCGAAGCCCCGTTCAATCCCCATGTAAATGAGCGATTTTCGAGGCACTGTAGAATGAAGTCTGCACAAGATATATCAAACCTAAGCATCTTATCTGAAAGAGCAGACAATTTTCTGCAAGTTATCTATTACGTGTTTTTCGCTAAATCTTTTGCTTTTTTCACAAAAGTGTAAAATGTCCCCCCATGTCTCCGCAGCCTCCCTGCCGCCGGCCGCCGCGCGGTCGCGGTAGTGTAGTGGTTAGCGTGCCCGCGCAGTATTCCAAAGGTCCCGAGTTCGAATCTATGCGGTGCGGAACTTTAATTGCAATTCCAAGCTGAATATACGCACATCCATAATAAATTATTATTCGTATAGCTAAACTGTCACCAAGCTATCCATATAAATTGACTTCACCCAAAATATCGGCAAGATTCTATTAAAATATAAATTCAAATATGGCGGCTTGGACTGCCGCGTGCGTTAGGCTCCGCCCATAGCTCCGCCCACATGCGTGACGTCATTCGTGTTAGTGGACACGCAGAGAGATAGGGGACGACATGGGCCTGATTTTAGGAAAGGTTGACAATGGGGTGAACTGGGACACGTCCAGGAGAAGTGGGACAGATGATGGGGAGAACTGGGACTGGTCGAGAAATGTGATTTAAATGGAATACAATAAAAATTTGATGACCCATCACGAAGAAGAAGGTGTTTTTAAAGTTGACACCTAAAGAAATCACCTCGATTATCTTTTTTGAATTACACTGACAGCACTGAGTATCCTGGAAAAAATTCCCATGCATTTGCATGCGGGAGAACTGGGACAGGGTTTAGGCACGTTGTCCCAGTTCACCCCAAGTCGTCATTTTTATTTCAGCTGCTCTCCCACACAAAAAGTATAACAGATACATAAAAAAGTGTTTCTGCACAATTAAGATGACATCACTGATATCCAAAGGTGAACGGCCTGAACATTTTACATCGCTGAATAAGCGGCAAATTGAATTAGAGTAAAATGCCAAAAATCACATTTTAGACCCTAACTCAATATCTCAGAGACAGGCAACCGGAAAAGGAAACCGCTTGGCTGTGACGTGCCCCGACTAAATTCATGAGAAAATATGCAAAAACAAAATTGTTTGTCCAATCGGTCACTAAGATATTGAAGGTGTCCCACTTCTCCCGCGTCCCAGTTATCCCCACTCTCCCCTATAAGGTCCTGTACGTTTCACCTCCCCCCCCCCCCCCCCCTGTGAAGGTTCCTTTGGCACTAAGGTTATTGCTAAGTTGCGATATTTTGTTCACGCAGAGGTTCAGTGTTCACTTATCGCGTCATAGGTCAGTGACCTGACCTGACCTGCAGATACGGTTTGTATCACAATTCACAAAATCTGGCCTGAATCAAAGGTCAGGTATGCCAGCTTTCAGCTCTCTATTGCCAGCGTATTCCGAGCTATCGCGAAAAAAAAACGGGGATATCCGCCCCTCGCCCTCCGTTGAATTATCAATGTGCGGCCTCACGAAATACAATAACATTTTTTTGCCCACTATTGAATTTCCGGTGCTGTTGCTAGCACTTCGCATTGTGTACAGGAAATCGCTGGCATCATCGGCAATTTGCATGATCATGCAGACTTGGGTAGTGTCCAAAACAGCCACTTTTCTCGATCGATTTTAGCTTGAGGCCGTCCAGTGACTGCCCGGTCTCGCTAAAACAAAGTTTAAGTATGCTCCGATGCATTATCAATGAGCTATGAATAAAAACAACCACATTCTATAATAACATTCAGCTGTGGATAGATTGGTGTCCCCTGAACCACAGATAAGCGTTCGACAATTATATATTTCATTCCACCAGACCAACAGCTGAACATCCTGCGATATTTCTTGTTGACACGTTCAACACCGTACCAGACGGTAGAGCACACAAACACTATCTGACTGCGTTGATCGCGACGGCCGAACAGTCCATGATCACATTACTCCCTTAGCACCTAACTACGGACATCAGGATAAATCGAGCATCCGAAAATGTTGGTACAACTACCCTACCCAGTTCATAACGAGTGACCGCATAAAGCAATATCTGTTATTAGAAAAAAGCATCGGATATTACCAGTCTTTTTACACACCCTTTACGCTGATGACATCAGCAAAGGAGACTTCATTGGCGCAGTGTGTCAGACTTACCCAGACCCGGCCAGACCAGTCTAGCAGTCTGGAAGTCTGACAGAGACTGACTCTCAATGCATCACGAGGGACTAACATTAGGCACCACCCGTAGTGAGGCCGGACCACTACCGTCGGAGAGGAGGCACCAGCCGCTTCCGAGAGGCACGGCACCGACTTCAGAGCACGGGGGTAGAGATGAACAACGAGCTCTGTGAACGACAGCGGGTCACTGGTCAACAAGCGACCCTATGAGCGACTATCGTAGCAAAAATAGGTAGCTTTTGAGAAATGATACCCAAGGGGCCGCTAAACCTCAAAATATTTAATTACAATTATGCATCGCATTCGCGGGTGTGATCTACCAGACAGCGCAAAAAAAAAAACTCTGCGTGCTTGATCGTTGCGGATGAGCACTCTAGAAAAGGTGATATGAAGCAAAAATGCTTAAAAATGTGAAGTGGAAAAATAGAAAGTAGGTACCCTAATACATCACAAAGAGGACGAGCTGCAAGATGAGTAATCTAACCCAAAAAGTCTCTCATGAAACTGTTCTCTTTTAAAATCAATTTTGGATGTCGGTTCATCAAAGTGGATCAATTCTACCCGCCGTCCACACATGCAACACTATTCTGCCTCTCACCTTCGGCACTGCTCACCATCTCGTCGCCCACACCTCCCCGTCCCCGTCTACTCACACGCGGCGGCGTCATCCGTCTTCCGTCATCAGCCGTCATCGTCGTCATCGGACGGCACAAACAGGTCATTCTCCTCCAGGAAGCTGGCAAAGTTTTTACTGATACTCGCTCCGAGCAGCAGGCCAGGTATGACGGTGAACAGCGCACCCACCACGCCCAGTCGACTTCGGTAGGGCTCGGGCCGCACCCCGCCGGTCGGGAGGGTGACGGCTGTGCGCAGAGGTGCCGCCGGCCGCGCGGGGGTCAGCAGCGCGGCGGCGGACACCGAGCGAACCAGTCCGCGGAGGTGAGACATGACGCCGCCGCTGCTACCGCTGCTGCGGAGATGATGGCTCGTGAAAAACCTGGAGGGTAGAGGGAAAGACATGTCAATATTGGGAAGGGGGATGGACTGAAATATGCTACTGGGAAAACATGTTCACAGCTTAAAATTGCAGGAAAAGATCATCATAGTAAGCCAGGAACTTCTCTTGTATAAATCAAAACTTATACTCCATACAATTTATGCAAGTGAAATGAAAACTGTTTACGGTAAACAAGGAACCAAATCGGATAGAAATTTCATTTGAAAACTTTATAGGCATTGACACTATCAAACATGGGCGTAGGAACGGCTGGAACATTGTGGGTGCATGGGTGCAGAAATCCAGCCATGGCCGGTGAAGCGGGGGGGGGGGGGGGCGACACCCGAGCGAAGGCTCGTTACGAGCTTTGAGGGTGTACCATGTCGAAAAGGTACCAACCGATAAGTGCATTTGGAAGCATTGACCCTCGCATGTGTAGGGGGGTCGGATGAACCCCCCCCCCCGTTGGTTGTTCGCAAATTTCTCGCGCAAAAAGCGGCCGATCGCGACGAAACTTTTAGTACCCTCGAGTTGATCAGTTTTACACCTACTCTAAAAATTTCATGACCCTGACCCAAAAGACCTTTGACCTGTGACCTGATTCTCGAGACCATGTTCGGCCGGAATCGCGATTTGGCGTATGTCAGCTCACATTATCCGCGCGTTTCCAGTCTTTTTGTGATTGTAGACGTCCAAACATGTGAAATGATGTTCTTCCCATGCATCACGGTGGGTGTGAAGATAACCTGAAGGTCAGGTCAGGTCATTGACCTTTGATGACCACGGTTCACTTTTTCGAGTTTTACATGTTTCTAGGGTAGTTTGTAGGGCTGATGTCGAATTTAGCATCCATTTGAACGTTTACGAAGTAGTTTTAGTGCTTTCGTGACATGCTACGACGCCGTCAGTGGTAGTTGACACCTAGGTACTATGGATAGCCGGTAGGACGCCTAATGGTTGACCTGACCTGACCTGACCCGATCTGGCCTAAATGCATGAAGAAATCATCTGTGATCAAAACTAACATCAGATATTTGTGATCAGCACCCCGAAAAACCCGATAACAGCTTCACTTTACGCAGTTCTAGCAGGTCCCGATTTTCCCGACTTCTGGAATATTGACCTGACCTGGAAGGTCAACCAATGAAGTAGGACCTTAAAATTGGGTATCATCGGCTTCCTCTCGTCACGGGCAACACCCTCGTTTTTTCCGCGAAGCTCTAGCTCGATCAGGGGCCGAACGGCAGGGGGTCCGACCGACCCCCCTCCCCCTCCCCCTACACATTAGAAGCTGGAAAACGCTGCACACATTCGAGGGCTAATGCAGGGTGGCGCCGATAAGTGAAGACAATATGTGCTCCACACAAAACATCAATTTTTTGGCAAAAGTCAGTACTTTGGATGAAAGTTTGGAACTGGGGTGACTGATGGCGACCTGTCGAGCACACTTCACTCGATGATTCCCCCTCCGCGTCGATGACGGCCTCGATGCGCGGCCTGAACCGGGCGCGGGCCTTGGTCAGCATGGTTTTGTCCATCTTGACCATCATCTGCTTGATGGCTGACTTCAGAGAGTCAATATTGTTGTGTGGGTGTTTGTGTTCCTCTCGACTACGCCCCAGACGTTTTAGTCGAGCGGGTTCAGGTCCGGGGATTTTGGCGGCCAGAACTCGGGCGTGATGTGGCTGTGCAGGTTGGCGCTCATCCACTCCTGCGTCAACCTGGCCTTGTGGGCGGTTACAGAGTCTTGTTGGAACACATAGGGCCTTCCTCAGCCACTCGGTCGATCCAGGGCTTCACGACGTCACCACTCACCGCCATCGACGGTGACGTCGACGTCGGGTCATCGTCGACGACGTTCTCGACTTTGGCAATGAAATCGTCGTCTCTGACGGCATCAGATCGTCGGGGATGTTTCTTCCGCTTTGCCACAGACGGGACGTCGCCCACAGACTCATCCAAGCTCCGCTTGACTTTAAAATCATGGCTTCTGTCGACCTTGAGGAAGTTGGCGACCTCGGATGCCTAGCTGCCGGCGTGAAGCGCCACAATGACCGCGTGCCTTTTCATTTCTTCCGTTATTATCTTCAGCTGCAACGTTTCCTTTTGCTATGGACAACAATTTACATAAAGCATGGAACATGAATGCAAAAAAAATTATTGCTCTTCACAAAACAGTTTCCTCGTAACACAGGTTTGACATTTGTGGTTATTTACCGGCGCCACCCTGTATTGTCAATACTGACTACCGCAAAAAGTAAAAGCGGCCAACTTAGCCATTTTCGAAGATATCGGGCTAAAAATTTTGACAGTGGGTCATCGGTTCGGTATGTGTTCAATCACATGCTCCATTTCCCTTTTTCAGCACAAATGTAAGCTTTGAAGACCATCACTGATCACAGTAGCAAATGCTTCGAAAGATGGATAGTAGGCAACATATCCTGAATTTGCCGTGCTGCATGGGAAGTAGTGTTGATGAAAAAGGGGTTTTTGGTTCAGATTATTGTGGGTGCAGAATACATTGTCTGCACCCACTGGATAAATATTGTGGGTGCAGCTGCACCCTTGCACCCATGGTTCCTACGCTTATGCTATCAAAAGAACACTGATAAAGGCACCAAATTCAATTGTCATTACTGGTACCTGGTGCTTCAACAAATTATATTTATCTGAAACCACAGCCTGGTGTTTGGGCCTCGGGCTGGTGCACCAGCATCAAATTTGAAAGCCCACAGGTGTTCTCCTCTGTTGAAATTGACAAAAATTGACAATTTCATATAACATAGTAGAGTTAGCAGAACAATTTGATTTCAGTGTGTCCTTAAATAATACTTAAAAATTAAAATGCCAGACGGAGCACTTTTAGAAACATCTGAAAGTAAACAAACCAACAGCACATTTCCACGGCCACCTTTTTTGCCTGATTTGCTTCTCACGCAGACACTTCATGTTGACAAGCATGATTCACTATTCCTATGAACTATGAAGTGACGATGATAAACATGCGGAATAATATGTTCTGTTGTTGCATAAAACTTTATCATAGGTATCCACCATTTTCAGACTAAATTGATATTGAAAGGAAAAAAATAATTGTTTTCCCATTATTTTATAATGAATTGCGAGTGACAGTTCATGAAGTTGGACAACTTATGGGCACAATTGGTTAATGATTACTGAAAGCACACCTTCAAATGAAGTAATTTCAGTTTATTCACCACCAAACTATCACTTATCGTGCATTATTTATCAACAGTGCAAATCCATAAGAATCTTGGCAAATCCATTGACGGGATTTCGCCTACCCACGCCACTTACGCCGCAAGAACTACTGATACCATATTTTCATAGTGAAGAAAAAACTTCACACAAGCATGATCCTTAGCGACATCCACGTCGTTCTTTCCACGGTGACTATAGTTCTCTGCTTACTTGTCGTTTCTAGGTGTCTGTCGTCCTCACTCCTCAAATATCTTATATAGCGTGGATACTTTCAATATGTCGAGTTTAAATATCATTTGACGATCACGTATGCTTACGCCACACAATGACGACCGGTTTCCAAGCCACGGCGACGGCGATCCCATAAGAATTTTGGTCTCTGACCTATTGCTATCCGTGAACACCGACGACAGACGTGAAGTAGTTTTCTGTGGATATGCCGACCCTAATAGTCGCCCAAAGAGGCAAATATTATGAATGACAACTTGACGTGCCTCGGCACCCGCTAGCCTTAGCAAAGAAGCAACAGGATCGAATTAATCAGCGATGAATAGTCCATTCAAATCCAGTTATTCGTTCCCCTGCCCCCATCAGTCAGCTTCGCACTGCCAGAAACCACTCCCATCTGCCGATGCTCGTTTATTGGACCCGTCGGACTGCCGTCACCAGCACGGTCATACCACAGCGGAACAGTCGGAAATAGCAGCGGGACGGAACAGCGGCGCCAGGTCAACGGCCCACCGCGGGTCATCAGAGGTCATCACAGGTCATTAGATGGCATCAGGTCATCAAAGGTCAACGGGTGGCATGAAGCTGAACACGAGTCATTAGACAGACAGTCGTCACATGCCGCCGGACAGCACAAGACCGACCTCAGGTCACCATAGGTTACCCGCCCGTCCACAACTAGCCTCATGGGACCACAGATTACTAGCCACTTCATAGCCGGCCTGAACCATAATGCATCGTCCGCAAGCTGCCTGAGGTGGAATTTCATCGTTGCATCACCAGAGGTCTACAGCAGTGCTTGGCAGAGTCCGCTTCCAGTCTCCCCAGTCGTCAGAAATAGAAATGCCGCCTGAGTTGTCGCCTATTATGACCTGCAAAAAGTGGACACATCTTGTTAAAACATGACAACAAAAAAATGAACGATATACACAAAAAAAAACTACACGGAAACGTGTTTTCCCTCCCTCAACATGTTGCAGCAAATTTACCATAAATTCACTTAGCTTGTGTAGCGTACTACGCAGCCACAATGAAACTCCATTCAGAGGTATCGCAATAATTAATCACCGGGTTCCCTCCATATCCACGCAAACATTTGCATGTTTGGGTGTTTGATTTAACTGTGACGCTTTGTTTTCGAGTAAGACCATTTAATCGCAGGTAAGCACAATACAGCCTGTGGTTGAGCTTTACAGTAGCTGCCCTTAAATAAACAATCAAAACAAGCGCTCGAGTCTGCCTCTGTGACCATCCCCGTCCGTTCCGGCCCGTAGATAAGACACGGGACCAGTCAGTGGACGGGGTGGGCAGTCGCTCTAGCCGGGGATAAGAGCCGGCTGGCTACAGATAGGCCAGCCGACGGTGTTGTCCGGCATAAGTTCGGACGCACGGTCCAGAGACATTTGATAGAGGAGAGAGAACACATGGTTCACACTTCACACACGTCCAATCGAAAGACATGTGAGTAGAGGAATGGATACAAGCATTAGCTGCATTTGGTAGATTAGTCTCTCGCACATCGTAATCTGTCTCACCTTGACCCGAGGTAGACCTGGGTTGCCGAGCTTCAATGAAAGCTTCCGCTGTCATCTGTCGGCGGAAAACAACTGATGTTAGGGTAGATCGATTATCACACGTCTCTTATACCAGCAATGGAAGAGAAGTTCAGGAGCCATTGACACCCGTTAGCTGCCGGGCATAGTAGGCTAAAGCTCACATTTGAAGCCTTTCACTCAACATCAACCATTGCTGAAACAAATTATTGTAGGCCAATTCACGACAGTGTGAGCTACCCTACCGGGACATCGTTTTAGAGACTCAGAGGACGTTAGTCCAACCATGAGAGGCTAAATGAGATATAATATTTACAAAGACTGAGAGTTCGTTGTTTCAGCGTCTGAGGTCGGTCGTACGAAGGCGTCCGGACGACGTCTGGTCCGGCCGTCGGACTGCCGACTCGGCTACTGTAGCCGCCGGCCGGAGGGTCCGCCGGGTCTGTGGTACCCGGCACCCAGGGCAGGCCGCGGCTGAATACAATTAAAAATGAAATAAAATCAAAATACACATACATTCACGACACAGTTCTCATACGCGTTTGCCTAACACACCTGCGCTACACCACTACTCCAAGCCACAGGAGCTGATAGAATGCGCAGGTCTCTCGCAAAAAGGACTCAGGCATTACTCACCTCAGCTCGACCCGACACAATCTCAGCCAGACCTCGGTCCAGTGCCAGTGCTGGTGTGTTCCGGCTCTCTCCACGCCTCTGCTGTCGATGAGTCATGAACCCTGAAGGAAACACAGAATAAGTGTGAAACAGCGCCGGTACACATCACAATATCATCAGGCGGAGTAGAGGAGGGTAATAGTGGTGTGTAGCCGTCCCGTCCGTTCCAACTCGCAGACAGGCACGGAGTCGGCCAGTGGACGGGTCAGGTCAGTCTCTCTAGCCGGGGATAAGAGCCGGCTGGCTACAGGTGGGCCAGCCGACGGTGTTGTCCGGCATTAGTTCGGACGCACGGTCCAGAGACATTTGATAGAGAAGAGAACACATGGTTCACACTTCACACACGTCTTACCGAAAGACATGTGGGTAGAGGAATGGATAGGGTAGTGTGGGATAATTTGAACATATTTATACGTCTTCTCCGTTGTACCAAATTTCAGCTCAACCCTGGATGAAGAAAACATGCTTCAGTAGCGCAAGTGTCACTTGCTTTCACCATGCAAACCTCATTTTTGGACGAGCGGAGCATACCTTGAATAGCATAGCCTCACTTCTCCACCAAGTCACGGTGTGTTCAAATTGCCCCACCGTGGGGTAATTTGAACATACTGCCTTTACCTGTCATAAAAACGATAGTCTCGCCAGCACCGATGTTGTTTGACCCATAAACGAATAGGCAGAACATTTCTAAACAAACCTTTACTTGAAAAATCAACACAACAACAAAAATAACAGTTGCAGAGTATCAATATCTGCACGCTGCACACCGTTCAGTTGACAGAATTCGCCTCTCTTCAATTAACAGAACGTCTATCATTTTTGTTCGGTAAAAACTCTCCCAACCTTACTGCATCTGTTATAGTGGTGCCAACCGAAACCTGGACATTTGGAGTTCTGATTTTGTCCAATGTCCAATTCGGAATTGGTTGGACAAAGGTAGCAGACTGGACAACATTGGACGATGGCTTGCTACACTTCAGCTCATTTTATAAAGTAATCGTGCATAGCATTGATTGGCGAATGGAAAGCTTGCTAAGCTCTCAATATAATGAACATTCGGCTGGTAAAATTACATTATAAGCAATTTAAATGACAGTTTTGAGTGTTGATTAATGCGTAACTTTCGGACATATTTGGACAAATGGCTGACTTTAACATTTTTGAACGGAAATCAACGAAAATGCCGGACATTAGACGGATATTAGACGTAAATTTTATAAAACTAGCATCACTAATCTGTCACTGCTTTGGGTCGAAAATATTGGCAAAAAAAACTGGGAGCGTTGTTTTTTTTTAGTTATCCCTGTCTTTACTGAAATTCTCACACTATGTTCAAATTACCCCACGCTAAAATTTATTTTGCCATATTTAAAAACAGGTTTCAAAACCAAATTTCTTGGATTGAAGGCAATGATTAGGTCATTGTACAACAAAAGCCGTTGCGTATTAGGCGCTAGCAATGCAAGATTTTGCGCTGCAATGAAGTTGCAATGACGTGCTTTTAGGCGTTTTTACTTGCGAAATTGATTTTTTACAGTGTGCGTCAACATCTTCATTCCCTGAAACTTTAAACCCCGTTTATATGATAGCCCTTTTAGTTACGATAATTTCCCTCATCGGTCTTATTGTCGTGCCACTTATGGATTTTCCGTAATTTTGTGTTTTTCACATTATGTTCAAATTGCCCCACATGTTCTAATTACCCCACCTTACCCTACACGCATTAATGCATTTGGTAGATAATAGAGAGCACATAACAGAGTAATCTGTCTCTTACCTTGACCCGAGGTAGACCTGGGTTGCCGAGCTTTGCTGAAAGATTCCGCTGCCATCTGTAGGCGGAAAACAGCTGATGTTAGGGTAGATCGATATTTGATTATCACACGTCCTTTGTACAAGCAATGGAAGAGAAGTTCAGGAGCCATTGACACTCGCTCAGCTGCCGGACATACTCAGCATCAACTACAGCTGTTGACCCAGATTATTGTAGGCCAATGGACGCGAGGGTGTGCTATCCTAGAGACTGGCGAACATCGTTTGTCTGTTTCTTTTTTATTGGGGCTTAAGGGCGCGCCGACTACAAGGTCATTTTGCGCCCATCTGGCGAACATCGTTCCAGTTATTAAGAGGACGTTAGTCTGGAGGGGCTTAGTGCCATCGTTTAGAACGACTGAGAGTTCGTTGTTTCAGCGTCTGAGATCGGTCGTACGAAGGCGTCCGGACGACGTCTGGCCCGGCCGTCGGACTGCCGACTCGGCTACTGTAGCCGCCGGCCGGAGGGTCAGCCGGGTCTGTGGTACCCGGCACCCAGGGCAGGCCGCGGCAGAGTACAATTAACAATGAGAATAAAATCGAAACACACGTACATTCACGACGCAGTTCTCATACGCGTTAGCCTAACACACCTATGCTACACCACTAATCCTAGCCAAAGGAGTATGACAGAATACGCATTGCGCAGGTCCCTCGCAAAAAGGACCAGGGCAACTTACCTCAGCTCGAGCTGACACAATCTCAGCCAGACCTCAGTCCAGTCCCAGTGCTGGTGTGTTTCGGCTCTCTCCACGCTGTCTCCTGACTGATCAGCCATGAACCCTGTAGGAAACAACACAGAAAAGGCGTTAGACGGCGGCAATACCGACCAAACCACGACCAGCCGGGACAGAGGAGAATAAATAGTGTTATGTAGCCGTCCTCGTCCGTTCCGACTCGCAAGCAGACACGGAGCCGGTCAGTGGACGGGGCGGGCAGTCTCTCTAGCCGGGGATAAGAGTCGGCTGGCTACAGACAGGCCAGCCGACGGTGTTGTCCGGCACGGGCTTTCATAATAACGTAAAAAACGTGTTTAAAATAAAAGTGGTTTCCTAAAAAGGCGGGGGATAAAAAAGCCTCGGGGCGGGGACTATGGAGAAAAGTCCATCCAGCATCGAGCCAGACCTGCAACAGCCGCAAGGCTTCCCATTTGAATAAATCAATGGAATCGTGAAGCCGCTCACTCGGTCAACGTTAACAAGCAGAATTTATATTGCAAGTTCACACTTCCACCTGTTACTCCAATTTCCATCAGAGGTAAAAGCAAAACTAGACAAAAGTGCCTTTACTGAGTCATAAAGGTCGAAAAGCTAGAGAGAAGCTTCCCAGTCAATTTCGCCTTTATCCAGCTCAATAATCCTCACCTTTCGTCTGGTCGGTGGACGGAGTAGTGCAAGGATGACCCGACGACGGTCCTCTTCAGCCTCACACCTCGACAGTCCGACAGGGCTCCAATCAAACGAGCATCGGCGCCATTTTCCGTTTGCATAGACCAACGCCAGTGTATCTGCCGGCCGGCCGCTCCAGCCGCCGACCGACCGTAGTAACAAAGCTATCTCCTCCGAAGGTCGATGATGATGACGATGATGATACACACTGCAAAGCTGTCGCCGTTGGCCGTCCCCCGTTAAGTCAGTCCGTCAGATCACAGTACGTAAAGCACGCACAAGTAACAATCGATATAAATATGATCATGATGTCGACGCGGCAGCCCTGCCACCACCGCCAACCGCTCTGCCATGCCCGACACTCTCTCACTCACACACAAACACACACCGCGTAACGGCACAGCTAGATAATCTGGAACACTTTCTTGAGTTCTATCATGAGTTGCCAGTCAGGCTTCGTCAAGTCTTCACGGAAGTAGTTTTTACATGCGTCTATCGACTCGCGACTGATGCGGCTGACAAGCATGTCCGTCTCGTCAAAGTGTCGGCCGAACATCTTGGGACTCTCTCCAGGAACTGCTTCGATCTTGATGCACACTTCCTGACCCTTGCGCGCGACTTCCACCTGCTTGTGGTTGATCTCCACCGTGGAGATGTAGCCAAGGAAGAGGAACTCCTTGCTAGGTACGCAGATCGGAGTGCCGGTCTTCACGATGCCCGCCTCAACGCTGACACCCATCACGATAGGATCTCGAGAGTTGAAGATAAACTGCGGCAGAACACGTATCTTGCACGGGAACACGGCGATGTGTTTGTGTTCCTCGCGCTTCTTGTTCTTGAGGTCCTCGCGGTGCTTCATGAACTTGTCAAAGAGGTGGTAGATGATGTCCGCCTGGAATATGGTGACGCCGGCAGAATCGGCCATCTCCTGAGCGTCTCGCTCCACCTTCACGTCAAACGCCAGGATCACGGCGAACTCAGGGTCGCGGTCCAGCATCACAGACGCCTTCATCACATCACGTTTGACCACCGGTCCGATTCGTACACCCGAGTAGGGGATCTTCGAGGTGCGCAGGAACTCCAGCAGCGCCTCCAGCGAGCCCAGCGTCGACGCCTGCACGTAGACACCATGATCGCTCAGCTTGATGGCGCTAAGAGCCGATCGCAGCTCCTTCGCTACCAGCGCCTTGCAGATCTCGATTTCATCCGGGTGTTCGGCGACCATCAAGTTGAGTCCAGCGATCGCCTTCTCAAGCTCCTTTGCAGCGATCTTGACACCCTGCGCCGCACGGATCTCCTTGAACTCCTGATAGGCGTTCTTGACGCGCAGCTCCTTCAGCGGCTGTGGCATGAGCAGCGAGCGGATCTGGGTGACTATCGGCCCATCAGTACCGGCCACGACGATCGTGCTTCCCTCGCGTAGCGTGCCGTTCACCAGGATCACGTCGATCGTGGTACCCAGACCGGGGATCTGCTTCACCTCCAGCACGGTCGCCTGCAGCTCGTCAGAGTACATCAGCCGCTTGGTCAGCATGTTCTGCGTCATCATCACAACCAGTGCCATCAGGTTGCCCATGCCCTCACCGGTGATCGCACTGGTTGGCACCAGAGACAGATACTCGCGAGGGTTGTCGTTCTCGTAGAACAGCTTGGCGTTGAGACCTTGCTCCGCCAGCTGGACAATGGTCTCGTTCGTCCTCTGCTCGAACTCAAGCACAGTGTTGCGAGCCTGGCCTTTGCAGATGTCCTCAACGTCCTTACCGCGTCCCGTCTCCCAGTCGTACAGCCGGTCGATCTTGTTCAGCGCCACCACGAACGGCGTCTTCTTAGTCTTCAGCATGTTGATCGACTCGATCGTCTGAGGTTCAAGACCGTGCATAATGTCGACAACCAGGATGGCCAGATCGCAGAGGGACGATCCGCGAGACCGCAGGTTACTGAAAGACTCGTGACCGGGTGTGTCGATGATAAGAAGTCCGGGGATCTTCAGCTCGGCAACCTTGTGCTTCTTCACGAACTTCTGCTGCTCTTCAATAGCCTTCAGTGGCACGTTGGTGGCTCCGATCTGCTGCGTGATACCACCTGCTTCGCCTTCTTGCACGTTGGTTCGCCGCAGCTTGTCCAGAATTTTGGTCTTGCCTGTGTCGACGTGACCGAGTACGCAGATGACTGGGGCGCGCAAATTGTCGGCCGACATGGCTGCGCGGGCCTCGTCGCGACGCTGCTGAATCCGCTTCAGCGCGCGGTCCCGACGCTTTTCGGCTTCAGTCCGCTCGTCGTCACTGTCTTCCTCACTCTCGCTCTCCTCCTCGCTGCCACTTTCGTCCTCATCCTCTTCCTCTGAAGATTCCTCCTCCTCATCCTCAGCTGGAGCAGCTTTCGCATCGGCCTTCGCAGGAGTTCCTGGGGCAGCCTCGGGAGCAGATTTCGGCGCAGCTTTCTCTTCTTCATCGTCTTCCTGATCCCACGAGTCCTTGACATCATCCTCGTCCTCCCAGCTCTCCTTGGGCTCGTCCGCCGGCTTGGCTTCCTCTTTCGGCTCCTCTTTAACCTCGGATTTCGGTGGTTCGGGCTTCGGTTCAGGTTTCGTCTCAGCGTCGGGCGATTGTTGTTTGCCCTTCTTCCGCATGTCCTTCATGGTTGGCTTCTTTTTCTCTGCAACCACTGCTGCTTGCTGCTTCATGGCATCCAGCAGAGCCTGTGCGCGAGCCATATTCTGCTTCTGTTTCGGCGTCAGCAGTTTGCCCTCGGCCTTCAGCTGCTCTTTGCGCTCCTTGGCCTGTCGCTTCTTCAACTCCTTCTGCTCCTTCTCTTGTGCCTCCCTCTCGGCCTTCAGCCGCTCAGCCTCTTCCTCTCGCCGTATCCGCTCCTCCTCCTCTCGTTTAGCACGCTCTTCAGCCTCCTGCTGAAGCCGCAATGCTTCCTGCATCGCCGCAACGATCTTCTTGCCCGGTCCCTTCTTTTTCTTGGTGGTCTCTTCTGGCTCCGGCTCCGGCGCCTTCTCAGCCGCTTTCTTTTTCTTCTTTTTCTTTGACGCAGCTGATTCTTTCTCTTCGCCATCTTCAGCCGGTGCTTTCTCCTCCTTCGCTGGGGGTGGTTTGGACGCCTTCTCACCATTGGTTTCGGCCGGCTTCTCTGCAGGCGTTTCTTTCTCCTTCTCTTTCTCGTCTTCTTTCTCCTGCTTCTTGCCCGTCTTCTTGTTCTGTTCAATTTTCTTCAACCGTTCCCGCTCCTTCTTTTCCTTTCGCTTCTGTGCTTTCGTCTTCACAGTCCCTCCCTCTTCCTCTCCATCGTCTTCATCTCCTTCGTCCTTGTCCTCCACATCGCCCGCAGCCGCTGGCTCGGCCGTTTTCTCCACAGATGGTTCCTTTTCGGCCGGTTTAGGCGGTTCCGACTCCCCGATTCCCGTAGAAGTCTGCTCGCCAGTGTATTCCAACTGCAGTTCCGAAAGCATCTTCTCCAGATCATCATCCAAGCCTTCATCTTTCTTCTTTTTCTTCTTCTCTTTACCCTTCTTTTCTTTCTTCTTATCCTTCTTCTTTACCACTACAACCTCGTCTTCCGACTCGGGCTTGTCGTCACCACTGTCGTCCATAAGGGAAGCGAATCCCGGTTTCTTAGGTGGCGGCGCAGGAGGCTCGTCGTCGCTCTCATCCATCATTAGGGCCGCAAAGCCGGACATCTTAGCCTTAGGCGGCGCAGGAAGGTCATCGTCATCATCTCCGATCTGGTCCTCATCGTCGTCAGATTCCATCGCCGCCTTCTTCTTGGCCTTCTTGGCTTTTTTGCCCTTTTTCGGCGGTGCCTTGGTGGCGGGTTCGTCGGCCAGCTCTTCGGCCGCGTCGTCCTCGATGGTCATAGCCGGCGCCTCGTCGGAGTCCGAGTCGCCCGCCTTCTTGCGTCCCTTCTTGGGTTTCCCCATGGCTGGTGGCGGAGTGCAGAGTCGGGAGGCAGCGTGAGACCACGACGGATGCGGGTGAGAGACAGCTTGCTGATGTGGTGGTTGACCGTGGGTAGTCCCTCACAGCAGATCTGCGGGAGAGAGAAATCAGGTCAGATCGGGCTTCATTTCCATTGAGTCAATGTGTGGTGAAACACTTCGCATCAGTTAAAAGTTTGGATCGAATACAGATTCTTCATTGTGCTGCCACAACTCACGCACGAATTAACATACAGATTTAGGTCATGGCCGATGGAGGCCAATGAACTTAGAAAAACATATCCGTCTAGTTACATAGCCGATAAAAAATACGGCCGGAGAAAATGAAAGCAAAGAAAGAGCTATTTAACACCAAAATTGATACCGCATTGGTATTAGACTTTCACATCCCTGATCGCCCGTTCCGCGTTCGTTTGCTGAAGTCTCTCTCAGTTGCCATTACGGTCCGCATCACATGTCGCAACGGCCGCCTCCCGCCCCTCCCCCAGGCGGACAGTGACGCGCCGATGACGACATCGATATGACGGATAGTGACCACCTTTCAATGGCTGCCATCCCACTCGCATAAAATGAACATATGGGTATCGGTGGTATCGGTAACCCTACCGATACCGGGTATCGGTAACCCTGGCGTCACCGGTAGCGTTTTCGTTCAAGGTTAACCCGCGAGTTGCTGGGGGGGGGCGTTAAACGCCCCCACTTTTTTCGCCGGGCCATAGCATAAAAACGGCGCGCCGCAGGCGCGCCAAATTTTGGGTATCTGTAGGGAATTGATTGAAGTTTATTGTGACAAAGTTTCAAAAAAATCGGTCGGGAAATTTTTGAGATATCGAGGTTTTAGTGACGTCATGATTTCTGAGTTTTCGACCAAAAACGGCATATGTTCAAAAAATCATATAAAATCACACAACAGACATACAGACATGCCGTAAACGCCATTAGACTGCCAATACCATGATCAATCAAATGGCTATCTTCGATTATTGATTATCGTTCCGCATTTTCCAAAATCTTGAACTGAATCTTGGCAATTTTTCGTGACTACTTCACGACCATGATACATGAATTTCTTAAATTGAACTTTTTGAGCCAAACACGTACACATATGATAAAATGAATGTCACCATCGTGTTCTACGCCCCAAATTACCTATAAAACATGTGTCACAGGCTGCGAATATCAGTTTCGATTTTCGGGGATATGTGCCTACCCGATTGACCTGACCTTGACCCTGACCTATGCTTGACTGACACCTATATGAAGCTGACACTCTTGTAGGCCTTATAAGATGGATTGTGCACCGTTTTGACAGAGTTTATGGCGAGAGGCGCCCATTGCGAAGTCCTGAAGTCCATGCTACTGAAAGCCCGATTTCAGGTGTTTGACCTGACCTTGACCCGACCTGTGACCTCAAAATTCAACTTTGAAGTACTCATCTGAAGCGTCTCGTCGCGCTCTTTCGTTTGCCGCCTCGTGCGTTTCGCTGCGCCTATTGGTTCTCGAGTTATCGGCTGGGGGCGTTTAACGCACCCCCCCAGCAAACGGTGGGTGGCGAAATACCCCAGCAACTGCCGGGTTAAGGTTTCCTGTAGTAGGCCGCCGTGCCAGGCCGAAGCATGCTGTGAGGTCACTGGGTAAGAGAAGATAGCGTAAAAGAACGACTCAGGCAGACTCAAACCGACTCAGGCAGACTCAAACTGACTCGACCGACTCAAACCGATTCAGATCGACTCAGACTGACTCAAACTAACTCAGACCGACTCAACCGACGCGAATCGATCGACTCAAATCGATTCCGATCGGCTCAGACAGACTCAGGCAGACTCAGTCAAACTGACTCGACTGACTCAAACCGATTCAGGGCTGATGATTCAGGTCAAACCGATGGGTCTGTCTGAGTCGGTCAAAATCGGTTTGAGTCGGTTGAATCGGCTTAACTCTGTTGAAGTCTATCGGAATCAATTTGAGTTAGTTGATTTGGTCTGAGTCAGTTTGAGTCATTCTGAGTCTAGATGTGTCAGTCTGATTCAATCGGAATCAATTTGAGTTGGTTGAGTTAGTTTGAGTCGTTCTGAGTCAATCTAAATTCTGAATCGGTTTGAGTCGGTCGAGTCAGTTTGAGGCTGCCTGAGTTGGTCTGAGTCTATCAGAGTCTCAGTCGATACTGATAGTGTGGTACGTTATCTTCTCTTCCAGTGACGTCACAGCATGCTTCGACCTGGCATGGCGGCCTAATACAGGAAACCTTACCCTTGAATGAAAACATTACCAATGACGCCAGGGTTACCGATACCAACATATGTTCCTGGCAAACCCTTGCGTCTACCTTAACAATGCAATGGATGGCTCCAATACATGCAATTATTTATGTTGATGTACAAGGAAAAATTTGAAGAAACCTGGTAGAAATAATATAACAGAATATTTAGCTAAGCTCGATTTCCTTTTCAGCAGCCTGAGCCGGCGCAAAGCTAAAGTGAAAGGTTCCACTTCAGGTCGATACAGCGCTAAAACAACAATATGGGGAATCATCAGACCTTACACACTCACCGCTGCAAGAACGAAGACTACGATAAAGTTTCTTCTGACACCAAATCCCGCAAAAATAGAAAGAAATTATGCATCAACACAGCAGGCGGCCGGAAAAGGTTCTATGCCGTGTAATAGAGAAACATACTGTAAATCGCTCTAATTGCGATAATTAGACTTTTTTTATTTCAGTGCAAATTGGTTCAAAAATTGATAAGATTGTTTATTAATTGTATTGAAATAGAAAAAAATCAGAATGAGTGAACATTCTCTCAAGAAAAATTCTTCCGAAAAAAGACAGCCCTACTTGCCACTTACCATGTAATATATTTCTTATGCACAAATGAACAAAATTCATGCTATCAAAAATGGTAATGGCGGGAGTTAATGAAAAAGTTTACATAACTTGCGCAGAAAAGACAAGACTACAATAGCCATCAATTGCCTTGCAATAGCAATAGCCTTGTCATTGGCATCATAGCACATTGACATAGGCGTTCGTAAAGGGTGAGAGAGATCGCATTATTTCATTTTTGCATTTTCATTTTTCCGTGAGTTGAAAAGTACGTTCATGAGAGGGGTTTTCTATGTAACATGCATTTGGTCAGTTGGGTCCGTGTCACACGAGATCATGCCTAGCGCTGTTCGGTTCTTACCAGCGTGCTCGTGCTGCCAGTTTGAGTTGCAGTTCCTTGGTCTTTTCTCATAGGTTGATGATGCTGATGCTGATGAGGTGGTCGGGCTGTCACCTTTGCACTCATATAGGTACCTATATGAGTTATTTGCTTGAGTTGGCCTCTCATCTGTAAACCACACACATGTGAATTTCACCATATAGATGCCAAAATGTGAGGAAGTTAGCTGAGTGCCGATTTGAAAGTGTCATCGGATCTGCACCCCTTGGTGTTTTTTCATGGTATGGCGCTTCAGAATGCTACGTTTATCAGTGTATTGGGTCTCCATGGAAACATCCACAAACTCAGATGCTCGTAACACTGGAACACTAGGGCCAATTCCTCTCAAACACCACACCAGTACTGAATACGGCTGCGCAACATAGCACACTGCAGCGTCGTGCCATGAAACGGGGCCCAGATCACAGAAGTCTTGTGTTTGTGTATGTTTCAAATGTGTCTTAGTTATTGTGAAGTATTGTGGTGCATGCCAACAGAAAGGTTTAAGAACCACAACAAGATGAAATGGATACAAGAATAGACCTGGGACTAATTTGAATTATGGTCCATTAATCTAAACTTATAGTTGGCACCCCATAGTGCTATAGAAGATTTGCTTCATATATATTCCCCTTCAGTACCTACCAAACCTGATATAAAAATGTGCTAGATCCCTTAAATAGCCATTTAGAAGCTCTGTTGCATGTCATATAATCATTAAAATTCAACATTTGGCTCTTGTCAGAGCCGGCCCGCGGTTGTCATGGAGGTGACCGGAGACCAGAGGAACCGACCGCCCGAGGCCGGACAGTGCCGCGCGCGGCTGACGGTGCTGTACGGCAGCCAGACCGGCACCGCCGAGGACCTCGCTCAGCGGATCGGCCGCGAGGCGAGGCGTCGCCTGTTTGAGTGCGAGGTGTGCGCGCTGGACGAACTGCGGCCGGCGGCGCTGCTCGACGAGCGACTGGCGCTGTTCGTGGTGGCCACCACCGGTCAGGGAGACGTGCCCGACAACATGGCCGTCACCTGGCGGCAGCTGCTGCGCCGAGACCTGCCCGCCGACTCCCTGCGAGCGCTCCGCTTCGGCGTCATAGCGCTCGGCGACTCGTCCTACGCCAAGTTCAACTACGTCGGTAAGCGGCTGCAGAAGCGCCTGCTGCAGCTGGGCGCGGCGCCGCTGCAGCCGCCGGCGCTGGGCGACGACCAGCACGACCTGGGCGCGGACGCGGCCGTGGACCCATGGCTGGGCGACTGGTGGGACAAGCTGGACGCGCTGTGGCCTCTGCCGGACGGCTGGCAGCTGCTGCCGGCTGACCGGCCTCCCCCGGCGCGCCACACGGTACGCTACTTGGAGGAGAATGGAAGCGAGCGTGCTGTCGAGACGCCGCCGCTGCCCTCGGGCCGTCACTTTGTGGCTAAAGTGCGCTCCAACCGGCGTCTCACCCCTGAGGACCACTTCCAAGAGGTGCGTCTGATCGGTCTGGACGTTAGCGGGGCGGACGTCACGTACCGGCCGGGAGACGTAGCCACAGTGCTGCCGCAGAATCTGGCTGAGGAAACTGAGCAGCTGCTTGAACTGCTCGGCTGGCGGCCCGATCAGCTGGTGATGGTGGACGGACCGCGGGCTGACCTCCTGCCGCGGCCCTGCTCTCTACGCTACCTGGCTACGCACGTGCTGGACATTCACGCTGTTCCTCGGCGCTCGCTGTTCGAACTGCTGGCTTATTTCACCGAGTCCGAGCTGGAGCGAGAGAAGCTGACCGAACTGTCGTCTGCGGTGGGCCAAGAGGAGAGGTTCGACTACTGCGACAGACCGCGACGCACCACACTGGAGGTACTTCAAGACTTCTGGGCGACGGCGCGCCGGCTGCCGCTGGATCTGCTCCTCGACATGCTGCCCGTCATCAGGGAGAGACACTTCAGCATCGCCTCGTCTCCAAAGGTGCACGGTGGAGAGCTGCAGCTGTTGGTGGCCGTGGTGCGGTACCGCAGTCGTCTGGCGGCTCCCCGGCGCGGTCTGTGCTCCACCTGGCTATCCCGGCTGCCGGTCGGGCACTCCGTCACCGTCTCCGTCCGGCCGGGAACGCTCCGCTTCCCCGCGGAGCCCGACCGACCGGTGGTGATGATCGGACCCGGCACTGGCGTGGCGCCGTTCCGCAGCTACATCGCAGAGGAGACGGCCGAGACGGACCGTCCGCGGCCGTTGTGTTTATTCTTCGGCTGCCGTAACCAAACCGCCGACCTGTTCTTCGGCGACGAGTGGCAGCGTCTGGAAGACGACAACAAACTCCAACTCTTCTGCGCCTTTTCTCGCGACCAGGAGAACAAAATATACGTGCAGGATCGTATCCGTGAGCAGGCAGCTCTGGTGTGGCGTCTGGTGCACGCAGAGGGCGCGACCATCTGTGTGGCCGGCAGCGCCAAGCGCATGCCGGAGGACGTGGCGGCGGCGCTGCAGCAGGTGTTTGCCGAGCAGGGTGACATGTCTGCCGAGGAAGCCGAGTGCTATCGGCATCAGCTGGAGCGGCAGGGGCGCTACCAGACTGAGACGTGGTCGTGAGCCGGGCGCCGGGATCGGCCTGTGTGGCTTAACTACCAGCACCCCGGCCCGTCAGGGTCCGACCTGTGTAGTGTAATTAGTGACTACCTACCATTACGGTGCTAGGAGGCGTGATTTGTACTGGATTTCGAGTATAATGCGACTATAATGATGGCATGATTTGGTCGGATACCTAATCAATGTCCCGATAGGTTTAAGAAAAATCGCATCCATTTCACTTTTGTAGACCTTGATTTGTTATTGGAGCTACTTCAATGCGAACTTGTTGTCATTGCCAAGTTTTATTGTCTGTTCTTGACTTGTCTTCTTTTGATGGTCATCCTGGAGCTATTTGTTCTTGCTTGGCGAAGCTAAAAGGCTAAAAATGGTTTGGCTAAAGTGGCTATAATATTGAGATAGACCTCATTTGGCTTTCGCCTGTTGGTTTATAATACATGGACTGCTTGATTATAGGCATTAGTGTGTTTGTCAGCCCCTGTTTGGTCCCCGAACAGCTTATCCCGAGAAATGTTATTTGTGTCAATTTGGTTCAATGATTTAATGAGGTTCAAGGCTGTACCTGTTGCAGCATCTGGTCAGGCTGGGTCACAGGTCATTTTAGGTCACATTGACCCATTTTTGGTCACAGGTGATTCTAGCACCATGGATTCTCAACGACAAACCCAGGCTAAATAGAGTCAGTTCAAGCCATGTGGGATTGCAATGCACACGGCTAGCTTGATCACAGGGACCACTTCAGTTAACAATATAAGGTCGGCCTGTGTCACATGCTGTCGGCCTGGGTCAAATTCGGTCAGCCTGGCTCACATGGTCAGTTTAGGTCACACGAGGCCGGCATGGGTCATCGAGATTAATCTGCAGCACATCAGGCCAGTCTGGGTAACACGAGATCAATCTGTAGGTCATTTGGGTCAGACAGGGTCACATTAGGTCAGTCTAGGTCACATAGTTGATCTCAGGTCACCTAAAGCCAGTCTCTGGATCATACGAATGGGTTTAGGTCACATGGAGGTCACCGTAGAGTCGAGGGTCAGTCCTGGAGACAAGGGTCATGCCACCACAGGTCCCATGACGCTGTTCCAGATCACTAGTGCTTCACTGTGATGTTTTTATAACGAGATGGCGGGGACATGGTATCTATACTGTGTATTTTTCCTATGTTACAGAGCTGTCACGATGCACGCGTTTCTGAAGACGGGTAAACTAGGCGCCAGTGATGCTTCAGCCGGAGGATCCGGTCTCACCGCAAAGGAAAAGAAACGCAACGTGCACCAGCCCTGGGTGGAAAAATAGTGAGTTATGCCAGTGGCAACGCAGAACCTGAAACATCTCTTTTATTTTCTATGGTTTTCAAAGACGTGAATAAATATTCCTGGTGGATGAATGGATGAGCAGGTGAATGAATGAATGAATGAATGAATGAATGAATGAATGAAAAGCTTTATTGAATGAAATGAATGAATGAGCTGAGCTCAAGCCTCTGCTCTGTGCTTATGTTGTGGTTACATCATACATGTGTCTGGTCGTCGACTGACCGACCGTTTTTATTTCACAGCCGCCCCAAGACGGTCGATGACGTCGCGTACCAGGATGAGGTGATAGCCATGCTGAAAAACTGCATGAAGGGCTCAGATGTAAGTAAATGACGCTCACCGTCTGTTATCCATCAATGTCTGTTATCGCCTGAATTATTCGTCGGGGTCGCTGAGTCTTGAGCCTCTGTATAGATCGTAGACCTCTGACTTCGCTATAGAGAGGTCTGTGGTTGAGCGCTAGGAGCTGGAGGTGGTTACTGAACAGTTAGAGTCCTGTAACAGACTCGCACATCTATTTTTGTAGCCATCGTGTCTTCTTCCCCTTCCATGAGTATCGCCATCGCCCTGCTAAAGAAATCCGTTTATCGTTTTCAGCTGCCGAATCTGCTGTTTTACGGTCCTCCGGGCACCGGTAAAACGTCCACCATCCTAGCCGCCTGCAGGGAGCTCTTCGGATCGGACATGAAACAGAGGTCAGTACTCGCAGTTGGCTGTCTAGCTGTTAATTCTCCGTTCTGGGTGTGGTGGCTGCTTTTGAAGACTTGGGTGATACCTGCGAGTGATGCTGCATTGTAAGGCAGCTTCGCCGTTTGGGGAAGGAGGAGCGACTCTTATTCTTTCTCAATGATCCTACGTTCACAGCTAAAATAGCAGTTTGGGTTGTGGCCTGAGCCCTTCTGTTGCGATTTATCAACTTATCAAATCGTGCTTGCTTACAATGCACTCACCCCTATTTACCGTCTGGTACTACTATTTGACATTCTATCCCCCGCCACGGCAGGGTACTGGAGCTGAACGCCTCCGACGAGCGTGGTATCGCCGTGGTGAGGGACAAGGTGAAGGGGTTCTCGCAGCAGGCGGTCCCCTCCTGCCGCTCAGACGGCAAGGCCTGCCCGGCATATAAGGTGAGGGATGGGGTCACTGAGGGGATGGGCCAACTACCGTGGAGGGTGTATGATATGAACAGACCGTTACTAGCACACATTAAATGATAATAACGTGCTCCCGCTGGCGTCTAGAGCTTGGTTTGATTTCACGCCGATAACAAATGCACTCTTGGCAGCAGAAGCTGCAGGTCACGATAAAATGTGCAGTAAAAATTCCTTGTCACCTCGCCGGCTATCAACGTAACCTCACTGCCATAAATGTGTCGCCAGCTCTGCATATGAGGTGCTTCGACCAGCTAGCTATGTGTGATATCACGTCATCTCTCGACTTCTTGTATGGGTGATCTAATCTGTCTGACGTCAACATGCGTATTGTGTGGCTACTACATTGTCATGCATAGTATAACGTCACCATCTATTTATATGCCATCACGTTCTCTATACCTATATGCCATCCCTCATCTCCTCGCCCGCAGGTGGTGATTCTGGACGAGGCCGACTCTATGACCTCAGCGGCACAGGCGGCGCTGCGTCGTACCATGGAGCGTGAGACGCGCACCACGCGGTTCTGCCTCATCTGTAACTACGTGTCCCGCATCATCGACCCGCTCACGTCGCGCTGCGCAAAGTTCCGCTTCAAGCCGCTCTGTGAGTGTGGGACGGTACCTATTGGTGTTTGTAGAAGGGCGGAGAGTAGGGGATATGAAGCTGTGTGGGTGGGGGAGGTGACGATCTAAAGTTTCGCTAGCATGACGCCGCCGATGTTCAAATTACCGGGAAGATAGGGGAGAGAGTTGGGTCTCGCGCTGCGCAAAGTTCCGCTTCAAGCCGCTCTGTGAGTGTGACGATGGAGGCGATAGAGGGATGAAGAATGGAATGAATGGTTGTGCGTGGTAGGGAAATCAGTAACCAATTCTAGTGAGGATTAGTGTTGCAGGAGTCGGATAAGTGATGAGGGAGTCTTCTTGGTGACAACCTGAAATATTGTGTGTCGTTTGGCTTGTAATTCACGTCTTCACTGATATGTTGTTTTTAGTCGAACAATGAACACAGTAATCCATTTTAGCGATGAACATTGAACAGTTAGGTATAACGTCATGCAAATTGTATAATGATCGATAACATCCTTATTTCACACAATTAAGTGCCTCTAAAGCGTCTGACACCCGCCCTTTATCATCCAGCGACCGACATCCTGGTGCGCCGTCTGCGTGACATCTGCACCGCGGAGGGCGTGGACTGTGACGAGCCGACGCTGGCGGCGCTGGTGGAGACATCTGACGGTGACCTCCGTAAGGCCATCACGACGCTGCAGTCGGCGGCACGACTCCGGCCGGCCGGCGGCCTCACTGCGGAGGACGTCAAAGAGGTCATGCTGGTGAGTTGGGGGTAGAATGGTGGGTGTCATGGGATTAAAAAAACTCGGAATGTTTGAATGGACGGATTGACAGAGCCGCCGGACCCACGCTAAGCAGAGCTTGTTGCGTGGACCCCGACCCCTGCCGTCCGATTGCGCAATTCCGGGTAACGGGAAAATATAGAAGTATAGAAGTTTTGACGGGATGAGTTTGAGTTCAAAGGTCATGTTGGTGAGTTGATATCAACTTTGGTCATGTTTCTGCGCCGATGAAAGTCGATTAGGAGTCATGGAGTTAAGGTTGCAGCAGCTTTACGCATTTCTATCCCATCATGGATGGAGACGACCTCTTCAGTCCGCGGTTCTAAAAGTCAACAGCTGCTCATCGTCGCCATCATTACTCATTACCATGTTCAGCCGTAGCTCACTAGGCAGAACTGATTCCCGATTGTGGCAGCTCGAGTTCAGTCTGTCTCTGGTGACCCACTGACCCTCTCTCTCCGTCAGGTGGTTCCTGACGCCATGCTGGACCGCCTGCTGGACGCCTGTCGCTCGGGACGGTACGAGAAACTAGAGACGGCCGTGAACGAACTCATCCTGGAAGGGTACGCCGCCGCGCAGGTCAGTTCACAGCTGGGTCAGGGTGTTTAGTTATTGAGGTCTTACCCGTGTGCAGGTCAGTTCCCAGCTGAGTGGGTAGTTGGTGGCGTCTTACCCTTGCACTGGTCAGTGTTTTGGAGGCCTGTCCAGAAATCCTCTGGTTTCTTATTTGCTACTGGGATAGGTCTTTGGTATCTTTATCGTCTAGCGAGCCACTCGGTTCTGGCAACGGTGGCCGTTCTCATATGGAATGACGCTCCTCATTTCGCACGATTTCAGAGACGACTGGAAAAAACTGACACAATGCTGCTCTATGCGCCCTCGACACACATGTCCTGAAACTTTGAAGTCATGCTGACCTGAGGTCCTCTCACCAAGGATTTGCTCATTTCTGGCACAGTGTATGATCGGTGATAACTATGTTCACTGTTCAGCCACACGTCAGCCCTTCACTGCGTTCCATCCTTTCCCTGTGCTGTCTCCAGGTTCTCTCTCAGCTGCTGGAGAAGCTGATTGCCCTGGACGGTCTGGATGATCTGCCCAAGGCGCACATCCTGGAACGACTAGCAGTGAGTAGTTTCCATCACGCCACCGGCTCATACCGGTGTGGCTAGTCCAGCGGAGATTGTGACAGTACAGCTCCATGTAACTTACGAGATAATGATTTGACTGCTCAGTGGTCAGGGTAGCCTTCAGTGGCTTAGGAAGCGTCCTTTTTAGGACATAGGTGTTTGGTACTTCGCAGTTGCAAGCGAGATACGGTAGCTCGCAGGGCACAGGATCCAGAGCCCCTGCAGGATTTTAACCGATATTTGGGGTGTTCCGGTCTTGAAGCAGCAGTACCTATGCTCGTTACTTAGTATCTGGGTACGCTTATTCAGGGAACGCTCAATGGTTGGAAACTTATTCATCGGTGCCACGTCAAAGGAACAGTAAACTATTAAACGTTTTGGTCTGATCGCGGCCCGGCCCTCCCTTCGTCTCTAATCTATCCTTTTTCCCTCTGCCCTGACTGCTCTCTTTTCTGTCTCTTCCTCTACCCAGCTGTGTGACGCGCGACTTCAGGACGGCGCCGACGAGTACCTGCAGATCATGGACCTCGGCTGCGTCATCATGGCACAGATGAAGGCCTCGGGGTAGAGCACGACGCCCGAGGTCAACTTTCTTGAGGTGGAGTGATGTCAGGGTACGTCTTTTGTCACATCCCTGGCTCATGTCATTGTAAATCGAACGAAGGTTTTGAAGCAATGCCCAATGTCATTTCTTTACATTCTGAAAATGGTGGGATGATGTCGAGTAGCGACTGATGCTGGGGTAGCGTCTGACGCCTGCCATTTAGATGCTGTCGAGAGGTTAGCGATGTCGTAAAAAGACCGACGTTGGGGTATCGGCTGATGTTCATCGTCTGGTGCGTTTAGCGTGTCTACATAAGTGACGTTGGGATGGCGCCTGCTGCCTGTTCTTTGCTGCCTGAGAATGGTGGGGAGGTCGTGAGCGCGCGAAGCTTGAGGTCGGAGTAGCGACCGATCTGAACCGTCATTCGTTTGTACAGCCTGCATACTGGCAGTACCGTCGTTTGACGTTGCCTACCGTATGTCTTCCACTGCTACGTTGGTTAGAGTTTCACCCAATGTGAGACCATCAAACTTCTCTGCTGAGGAAGTGGGAAAGTGAGACCTTATTGCTGGATTTCTTTACAGCAATGCTGGGTGCCAACTGCTAATATCACGCGGCTGGCCGCCGTTTTGGCATCGAGTCCATGAAAATCGCACCTTGTTGAGCGGCTGCTTCGACTGAAATGCACCTTCTGTGTTAGTTTTATTCCACTCAGCCTAGTTGCTGTTGAAATTGTGATCCCGAGTACCTGACGGCTAACCTTGCCATTGCATCTTTACGCTCTACAGTACCAAGCCATCCTGTAACCAGCCTCTCATTAAGTGGAGTTTGAATCCATGCCGTTGAAATGTCGGTAAATGAACCGGTGTCTTTGCTGACTGTTATCCTGAGAACTGGTCTTGCGAATTATTGCTTGCGACTCTTGTGTGGGAATAGGCTTGTCCCTGAGCTGGGAAAGCACAAAGCTGTGTCGTGTTCATCCAACCCTCATCTGTATTTGGGATACCCGATCATCACCATGCGTGACTTGTGGTTTGTAAAATGTGCTTCCGTCATTCCACGTGAAACGTTAGTCGAATGAGGGCCACCAGTTGCCTGTCAAGTGTTGAGAAACCATTTTGGCTGAGTCAGGTTACCGGTTTGTACCGCCTAGCCAAATAAATGAATCATTTTTGTTATCTGCCGTTTTCATGTGCGAGGCCTTCGTCCGGGCGGCCCAAGTGCAACGAATGCGTCGTCACTTCACCAACGGGTGTCCCCCCGCACACACACATACTGACATGTGTGACGTGTACCGGTTATCGATTGCGCCCCGATCGTGGTTTGCGAACGGATGGGAACCGTGACAGCTCGGTAGCATGTATAGTGGTACGGGCCGGGTTAACAGTGGTCCTCAACCTGGGAAAATGAGCGCTTAGTGTTAAAGGGACCCTCCCACCTTCAAAAAAGTTAATGAATTGGCATGAAAGTGATGTCGCTCGGTTCAGAAAGAGCAAAAATGAATATATACTAAATTTCATCGAAAAATATTCACCGGTTTTCAAGATATTAGACTTTTACTTTTGTTTACTTTTTGGGATCTCCGCTGTTCCTAGCGACTTTATTTGAAAGTGCGGCATTTGTTGCGCGCAAAGCAGCATATACCACCGCGTGCTGCCAAACGTTTTAGTAAAAGATTTAAAAATCGTTAGATCTCCGCTGACGTCACAAATTCTAAGGGGGCATACCAATGCATTAGCCCCTTAGAATCCGAAAACTGCAAGTTTGAAATTCCATATCTCCGAATTCCATTTTTCGATGTTGTGAATGCCCAAACCGGTATTTTCAGGCCATGGCCACCAATTTGGCTATCTCAACTCAAAACTAACTGGGAGGGTCCCTTTAAATCTACAAAGCAATTGGGATCGGAGGCTGATCTGGGAAAATTAGTCAAGACATGCTGTCGGTCCTATCTAAGACAACGCGGACCTGCAGATTGGTGGCGGATCCCTTTCATTTCGGCTCTCATGCGCGGCTGGTGATTAATGCCCCTATTTTATATTTTTGAAAGCCTCCTGTATTTCAGGGCGCAATAGAAACTTTCGATAATAGTCATTTGTGCAATCGCTGCACTGCATAACCTTTATCTTGTGTCGTGAAAATAAAGATACGTCATATGCTCTGTAGATAATAGCGTATATATGGCCTTGTAATAGGCTGCTACACTATAATAGTCACCGATTTGGTTTGAGAACCACTGGTGGTATCAGCTGATCCGAATGTAAACAAAGCATCTGACGCACAAGTGCGCAAGAATCGGTCACGTTTCCATGCGCCGGCTGGAAGACGTCGCGTTCTGCTGGAATCCGCGGGATGTTTGGAAGTTGAATTGGTGGATTCTCATAAAGGCAGGAAAACTGGTATTTTAATGGACCTAGCGCTGCAGTAATTGGGAATCTTTATATGTATATAGTGTTTTATAAATTGCGCATAAATTTCTCACGCTCCGAGTAGTCCGAGATTGCTGGGCTCCACGAATACGATGACGAACAGAAGCGAATTCCATGCTTTGTTTCATATGTGCTAACTCTGACACTGCTAATTTAGCAGGAGCTTGACCAGGACACTCACTTGCTACTGCCCTGTCAAGTGATTTTATATTATGACGAGGCTCGAAAACACATTGTGATGCTGGCTTCAGAATTTATCATCATGCCAGTGCCTTTTGCAAATTGAGAGGATTTGAGTTTTAGGTAAAATCGTTGTTAATTTATTGACATGGTTGAATTATGTCATTGTTTTGTCCTTGTACATATTTTGTTAATTAAATATTTTTTTACAATGCAAGAACTAGGTATGTTACGTGACAGGTAAACGTAGGTAATATTTTTTCCATTTTGGAATACTAATTTAGCTCATCTCAGTAATAAACCCTATCTTTCACACCATTGGCTGACAATGTATGTCTCTTCTGACAATATTACTGTCTCCTTTCACAGGCCCAGCTGTGACACCATGAGTTTCCACCGTTCCGAGCACCTGGTGACTGCGTTCCTCTGCATCAGTGGCGCTGCCGAGAGCTGCGTGCTGCCATTCCTCTGCCTCCATCTCAGCCAGCTGGGTGTACCGCCACTGCAGACCGGCCTTGCTGTGGCAGCTCTGCTCCTTCTGCGGGGTCTTGGCGGTGCGCTGTGGTGGCGTTCACTGCGTGGAGGACGACGGACGGGTCGGCGGCGCCTGGCCGCCGCTGTGGGCGCACTCTGCTCAGCAGCAGTCCTCTGTGCCCTGGCAGCGCTGCCGCCATCTGTAGGATGTGGAGACGATGGAGGTGTAGTGGTAGAACACGCATCCTCCCTGCCAGGACTGAGACCACCAGCGGACATCGTCCCAGCGGCAGGACTCGGCCAGGGGACAGACGAAGCAACCGGGAGCGGTGGGTCAAGTTGGAGTGGTCTTCCCTCATCACCAGACGACTCACGACCTACAAGTGACGGTGGTGATGGAGGAGCCTTTCATCCGCCGCCCGTCGGCCAAGGAAGTGACAGCCCCTGGTCAGAGAGCAGTGGCATGCCTCAGCATCAGTCTGTCGGCAGTCAAAGCAGTGGTCACCAGCGGCCAGAAACCAGCGAAACCAGCGGCTACCAACGACCAGAGACCAGCGAAACCAGTGACCATCATTGGTTGGAAACCAGCGAAAGCAGCGAGCATCTGCGACCCGAAACCAGCGAAACTAGCGGACATTATCAACCCGAAATCAGTGAAACTAGCGGACATTATCAACCCGAAACCAGTGAAACGAGTGAACATCATCGACTCGAAACTAGTCACACTAACTGGGACCATGAACCTGAAACTATCGAAACCTCGAGTGTAAATCGACCGACTAACAGTGGTGTTACTGGGGAGAATCGACCGACCGATTTCGGTACCAGTGTAGACAAACGACCATCGCTCAGCGAAACGAACGTACATAATCGACCAGAACAAAGCGAAACTAACGAACAAAGTGATTCATCGACGCTAGTTCAAACGACCGAAGCTAGCCAGGCGACAGACTCTCACAAACCTCATCGAACAACCTCCGAGATTAGTGACCAGCTGTCACCGTCTCCCTCTACTGCTGTGGAGGGGCCCCCTCTTCCTTCGGCGCAGTCCGGAGTCAGTTCTTCATCCGTGGAGGGAGAAACGGATGGCAGCCCGCGGCCGGAGCGAGTGGAGGGGTCGCAGAAAGGGACGGGAGACAGAAAAACAGGAAAGGAAGGTGTTGATGAATGGAGTGAGGGTAGCCAAGCGCATTCGCCGACGGTGGTGAATGTACCCAAACTGAAACCACAGCGTCATCATCCGAAGCATGATAATACTCAGAAGAGGCCTGGTGGCTCCCAAACCGTATCTATTCATGCTCACGGCGCCGATGGTTCTCAAGGTAAAGAGATCAGTGGCCCACAAACCGAGGATGACAGTGGGATACATATGATCCCAGGGACAGATCATCATACTTCTAACGTTCCCCCAGCCGTCACACCGTCCGCACAGAAACCACCGCCCTCTGGCTCTCAAACTCCAGGGGAGAGCCGCCCACCTGTCCATCTTAGCGGTCACCAGACTTCATCTGTAGTTGATGCTTTATCTCTGGAAGAAGATGAGACGGAAGTTCGACGGACAACTCGTTCGCCGCCCCCTCTGGAATCTGATGAAAACGGCAGTCGTGAGGATTCCGAGTCAGGTCAAGGAGAGTCAGAGTCTGATGTGTTTGGCGAAGAAACAGAACCTGTGAGCAGTGGTGATAATAAATATCATAAGTCTGATGAGTTTCATCAGTCCGATAACCATTTACCACCTAGTCCAGGCTCAGGTCGAGACAGCAGTGAACTCAATACTGTTACTTCAAACCTCAGCAAGAAACAGGGGCGACCGGACAAACCCGATCAGCTGTTGCCTGTTGCACCACCGCACTCATACTCAGGAGACGAGCGTGATGACCATCACATAGAGAGACAGCATCCTAACCAGCATCACCGCCATCTCGTTACTGATGATGAAGCAAACAACAAAAGCAAGGACACTGGACGACAGCCCTCAATTGATGGCATGAAATCTCCAACGGTTGGCATGAACTTCCCTCACCGTGATGATAACGAACACCACCGCACGGCCTCTCAACAACGTCCTACATCTGACTCTTCACCTAGCCGCGACTCTGGTTCCTCTGATGTCCTGAAGCCTCACCCATCTGTACAGCGTCCGCCCGTTCCGCCGCTGTCTGAAGAAAGCGACAATGAAGCACAGCCCTGTGTGGAGCTGTCCCAGATTGAGATTCCGTGGGATCCTCGCAAACACCCGGGCGGACTGACTATATGTGACCCGTCTAAGCCTGAGACAGGTCAGAGAAGAGGTGAGGGCTCGGGTCAGCCGCCAGGAGTTGATAGAGGAATGCTGCCAGGAGTGGAGACAAGACAGCAGACCGATCGCCGCCAGGAGCATGGGTCAGATCATCAGAGGACGCACTCGGTACAGCGTCATCGTGCTCCTCCTGCTCCCCCGCCGCCTCCGTCGGGCAATCGTGATCTCTCTGACCTCTCCCCGACCAACCGTGACCTCTCTGACCTTACTCCAACCAACCGCGACCTATCTAAACCAGTCCCTACCATTCATAACCTACCTGACCTTTACGAAGTCAACCACAACCTCCCTGAACCCGCGCCCACTAGAGGTCAGCCGGGGCCACCCTCAGGTCATGACCCAGGCCGTAGCAGACACCGAGCGGCCGGCTGGCGTCGTGTACCCATGTGGTCTGGAGATGACCAAACTCCCGATCATCCTCACTCGGTGGTATCGGGTCCGGAACCCCCGACACAGCCTCCGCCAATAGTGCTGGTCCTGAGGGGAACCGACTCAGACTCTAGCGGGGAAAGGAAGAATTACAACACACTTGATTTGACAAAAGATGCTGTTGATCTCAGTAGCGTGATTTTGAGACCCCAAGACACTCTTCCTTTGTTGAATACTGCAGAAAAGGTACAGCAGAATCACAACCGTGCCAAGACTCGAGTTGCGAGTGAAAGTAGACGTGAGTTTGAAGATCGAGATGGGAGTGAGAGCGGACTGGGGACTGAAGATAGAGACCGTGGTTCTGATATGGCCCGACGGCCTGTGCTGGCTACCAGACCTCACCGACTCGAGAAACAGCACTATGAGTCCAGAGACCCAAATGGTGAAATATCGAGCCCAGTGAACCCGTCTGTGAGTGGTCCTTTGGCAGTGATCGGAGAGAAATTGGTGACGGCTGACGAGTCCCTGAACTCTGGTGGTGGTTACGAACCGCAGAGTGCTAGTAAGACCGAAAGCCGTGAAGCTGTTCTCCCTACTGAAGCAGACGAGGTTGACCGGTCTCGTGGTCAGAGTTCTGACGTGAGGCCGCCTGTTGATGCTGGATCACGTGATCAAACCTTTGATGTGAGGCCGTCTGCTAAGCTTGGGTCACGTGACTTTCCGCGCACGGTTGACCCGAGTGGTTGGTCTCGCCGACAGTTGCCTGGCAGAATGGAGGACTCTTCCGAGCAGGGCTCTGAGATGCATACGACACATCATGAGACTGAAGATAGAGGATATCCAGACAGTCAAAAGAGAGTGAAGTCAGACATCCAAGACGGAGATATTCCGCTCACTGGAGTCAAAGACCTCCCAGACAGCGATGCAGACAGTCGTATTTCTCCAGGTGGGGCTTTCCATTATTACCAACGTCGGCCTATCGATAGAAAAACGCAGCACCATGACGGTCGTCTTCCTTCTCGACGGCATCCAAACGGCGACCCGAGACACTACGAATTGCAGCCGCGACCAGCAGATGACAGCCCAACCATAGAACCCACGACCGGCTGGAGCTTGACAAGCGCCCTGCACCGGTTGGAAGACTTGTCTCCGACGTTGAATCGTCTCCTCTCTGGTGGCAAACGGAGACGGGAGACACGTCAGCGGAGACGAGAGACAAGTAGGGGACGGTGGCGGGAGGGAGACCGCAGGCGCCGGAGGAGACGGTATAAGAGGAGTTTGCTTAGTGGACTGACAAGCTGGAAAGATTTACGAGAAGATGACACCGAGAAAGACACACGACAGGAAGAACTGAACAACCGTTGGGAGGTGGTCAGACGTGTGCCAGAACAAATGAGACTAGAGAGGAATGCGGATAATAGAGAAGAAGCTGGAGTGCCTGCGAGAAGCCAGTTCCAGCTGAGAGCTAGGCCTGCTTCACGATACCTTCGTGCTGAGAGCGGTGAGGCTAAAGGCTGGAACTACAACTTCTCCAAGTCGTTAGAGAGGCAGCCACAGCTTCCTCAAATCCGCTCAGGCCGAGATCTGCGCTCCGTCCCCTCTGCACCCACCTCACCCCACCCGTCTCCTCTCGACCCGTACCTTCTCTTCCTCATCACACTAGCTCTCCTCAGTCTCTGGGGGACGGCCGGCGCTCCCCACCGCCGTCTCGTCCTCCACTGCTGGCGGCACGCTCTGGACGAGGCCGAACACCTCGAGCGTGTGGAGCGGCCCCGTCCAGCTGCCGAGGCGGCGGCGGCCGCGCTGCTGGCCACAGCTGCTGGGCTGTGGCCGCTGCTGCCCAGCTGTCTGCCCGCTGGCCGGCAGCCGCTGGCCGCCCTGATGGCGCTGGGAGCCGCGCTGACACTGCTGGGTGGACTGATGGTCCCCTGGCTGCCGATGGTAGCTGGAAAGGAGCCGCCGCCGCGGACCGCAGCAGTCCTCAGGACACTGGTGTAAGTATCGGCGACTGGCTGGTTCGTTCGTCAAGGCCGCTAGTGACTGATATTTGATTTATTGGCTAAAACTTGAGGGATGTTTGCTTTCTCTGAAAGTGCCATTCTTTGCGCTGCAATTTGCTCTCATGTGACTCATATGCTTGTGTTAGGTACCTCCCTCGAGACCTCCCACTTGGTATAACCCATTTCTGACTCACATTGGACGTATGTGAACTCTATTAGACCTATTAGACCTATGCGGACCTACTAGACCTCTGTGACCTCAACTTTGTTTGTTTGTTTGTTTTGTTGGGTTAGGCCCTTTCGGTCGACAAGACCATTGCAGAGCCGGAAGGATGATAGGAATTAGGGGGAGACATTGGTCTGGGCAGGCACCCTAGTGAGTCGCCGGGGCTGAGCCCGTCCAGAGGACAGGCCACCCAGCCCCAAGGCACTCACTGCACCCGGCTACGGGGTGCGCTCCCTCAGGAGCAGCGGTGCCGCTCCAAGGGAGCAGCCCGCATGAGATAAAGTTGCCTGTCCAGCCCGGAGGGGGTTTGCGGCTCGGAGGAGAAGGATTTCAGTATCCTGAGGATAGAAGCACGGATAGGTGATGTGACCTCAACCAGGCCTCTGTGACCCCTTCTCGGCCTCGGTGACCCATATTTGACCTATGTGACCCCTAGCTGATTTTGCTGACCCCCAGATAACTGAATGAACCCTAGCTGACTCCTTTTACACCCATCTCTCTCAGGTCGAGCCGCAGCTCTCTCCTGTTCACCATAGCCGTATTCGTCACCGGCCTCCTGACATCGGCCGAGTTCCACTTCCTCTTCCCTCTGACTGCCACCTGGCGGCCGGCGCCGAGAGCTCTACTTCTGCTGGCGGCCGCCGCGGCGCTGGCGTCGCGTCTGCCGGTCCGAGCGCTGTACCGACCGCTGATGGTCCGCTGCGGCTTTGTCGGCTCCGTGGTGAGTGGCGTGACGTCTTTAGTATAGGTGGTCAGGCGTCTTCAGGCGACGTTGGTTTTCATGTCATTAATGGAATGACCGGGCTTCGTTGGTAGGTTCAAAGGTTGGGGAGGGGAGTCGGTAGGTCGCCACTCTCGCACTTTTTGCATTGTTGTGCTTAGAGTACCATGCTCCTGTTTTGCTGGTGTACGAGACAATCTAGGTTAGGTGAGCTCATGGCCCTCTTTCAGACTCGGCTTGGTAATAGATGTTCAATCTTGCGCTTATTGACGCCTTATGCTAAATAACTTTCGTAACAGAGTAGCGATGCTTCTGTTCTCAATATTTTTGCATTTCCCCCTAGAATGCCCCGTATTCTAACCCCCGTCTCCGTCTATCACTCCAGGTGCTGTCGTTCACGGCGCTCTCCACCAGATGTCTCTGTTACGTGTGCATTCCGACCGGCTGGGCGCTGGTGGCCGCTCAGCTCCTGTCGGGGCTCACTGAGACGCTGTTCTGGCGAGCCGCGCACGTGTTTGTCGACAAAACGACGCACGATGGTGAGAGGAAAGTGGAACGGAGGGGTAGAGGGAGAGCATCAATAAGTTTCTCCTATTGGCTGATAAATGGTCCCAAAGTTTATTGTCTTTGCGATGTTACTTTTTGAGGCTCCTTTACAGCTATTACGCTTAGCGGCCTAACCCAACAAAACAAACAAATTACGCTTAGAGTATACCAAATGTCATTTCTTTCCAGAAGATTTAAGCACGTAACAGTCTCTGTGTAATCATTGGGAGTTTTATTCTCTTCTCCGACTCAGCATCATGAATATCGATCCTTCACTCAAAGTAACGCGTTGTCCATTTGTCGAAGGCTGCATTGGCAATCCTTCAATCTTTATACAATATACATTGTTTTACTAGCTCCCACTACAACAGTTCATAACTACCGTACCCTCCTCTTCCTTTCCAGACTACCATCAGAGCACGCTGGCTGTTCTGGAGGCTCTGTACGCCGTAGGTCGTTGCTGTGGTGTATTGCTCGCCGGAGCTGCCTTCTCGACTGTCGGAGGGACGGCTACGTTCGCAGCGCTGGCCACCGTGGCCTCAGCCGCCGCCCTGGGGTACTATGTGGCCGCCAGGTGAGTGAGGGGTGATGGGAGGTCATAAAGGGTAGGGGGGGGGGGAATATCGCGGAGGGGTCATAGTAGCTGATATTGTGAGGCCAACATAGATTGGTGACTAAAGGAGCAAGGAGAGCTCATCAAAGGCCAGTGAGGCGTCTTGGAGAGGTTAAAGACCGGCGACAGGTCATGCTGAGATAACAGGTCAGTGCGTAATTACAAAGAATGTCAAAAGGTCAGGGTAGATATAATGGGAAATGGTCATAGATCGGGATTAGGTCAGTCAGTGGCAGCTTACTGGGCCATGTTGCGCGATAACTGGAAGAACAACTCAGTCAGTGGCAGCTTAGTGGGAGGTCAGTGTACTGTAAGGACATATGTGTCACAAAGTCATGTGGCGCTCATTGTGGGCAGTTCATTCGTCACGCGACGGGGTGAGGTCAGCTGGAAAACAGCCCAGTTAGCGTTCATTGACTACGTGGATCGGAAACCCGACCCCCAGCTACCGGTGTGGGTAGCGTGGCAGCGTGGGTGGGGCCGGTAGCTGAGATCATCCATCAGATGAGCTGGGATTGAGTCACTCTCGTGAGCTCCTAGTCTTAACTGGTGGTGTGGGAGGTGTGTATAGGTGTGTGTAGGGGGGGGGGGGTAGGATGTAGATGTGGAAAAAGGATGTTGCATGGGGCAGATGCGGCAGGCCGCCGTAAGTCGGCTGTAAGGTTGCTCCCATGTCACGCCGCATTGTCCCGTGGCGCGGGTACACTCGTGATGCGTGACGCGTCACGGAGCATCCCTTCGAGACTCGGCGTGGATCGGTGATCCCCGATTGGTTCGTCACGACACATTGAAAATGGAAGACGAGGGACATCGTCACTCGTCTATCGCCAGTCGTCAGTCTTCGGCCACCTCTACATCGTCCATTCTGCCTAGCTGATGGATGAAAGAGCTGGAGCACCGATGAATCGAAAGGTGAGTTCTGTTGAAGTCGATGTGATTTAGCCTGTATTTGTAGTTACTGTAGCCCGCCTGTAATTCGATGGTGGGGGTGTATGTTTTTCCTTATTGTGCTCGATCTCCCGTATTTCTCTTCCATTGTTATTTGTTATCCCTGAAAAATTTTCCTTCCACGACTACAATAGCCACTAGAAGCAAGCGAAGTCTCACGGTTGTCCAATTTTACGAGCTTTAACTTGGTCATTGTCAACTATAGCACAGTGGTCTCGATCCTCACCAATCCAGCCTCTTTGCCACTATATTGGTCTCGTTCCCTCGCCTATCCTGCAGCTCTACTGTGTGGGGGCGGTGCCGCGGTGTTTGATCGGCCCGTGGTCAGTTTTTGCTGGGGGCGATATCGGACACTGCCTGCCCGCCGGAGTGGGAGTATGCTAATGGGAACGGGTTGAGTGTACCCGAGGGGCGGGGAAGGGTGGAACATGGTCGGATTGCAGGTCAAAAGGTCAGCCAAGCCAACACAGTGCAGTGACTCGGACAGACTACAGGGAGCGAGTTTCCAAGTCAACTCATGGCGTTAAACGTTGGTGTTCCGATTTTGTCTGAACTCGAGAAACTTTTCTTCTTTTGATGGTTTCGGAAGTCGGGTCCCAATTCTTCGTAGCTGGATCTGGACTTAAGCCTGACGGGTCCATTTCTTTAAAGTTTAGAAGGCGGTTCAGCTGGCGGAAGTTGGTTCTATTTTTGTTGGCTGAAACTCTAGTCACTGTGTTTGATGTCATTCTAATGCCCTCAAATCACCTGAAGGCAAGAGACTGATACGATAGTTTATCCGACGCTCATTCGGCAATGCTCTGCAGAACGGAACGAAGACGTGGATCAGCAAATACGCTCTAAGATAAAAAAAGAAATTGTCACTCCCTCGCCTCGGATGACTGCTCTTGTCCAGGCTCTTGTTACCATTCTCCGAACATCAGTGACATGCTCATGACGGCAGATACCGTGACAGTTGGCGCCACATCACCATTATCATCACCGGAAAATCACTTCTCGCATCCATCACGATTGTCCGAACATCCGCGACGCACTGCATCACTATTGCCTCTGCATCAGTCAAGGCCAAACTTATTGATTCCACCTTTTACATAAGCGAGCTGAACCGTCGCTTCTTAGATCCTTCAATCGAACCATCCCACAGACCCCATAAGGCGTGATTCCTGTGCCACGCTGCCCCATCGTGACTCTCTCGATCGGCAGCTGTGGAGGCGGTGGCTGCGGCCGACCGGCTCTCCATAACACGTGGACACCGGTACCGAGCGTATGACCATATTCGGTGGCTCTCTGGACCGCACAGAGATGCAACCACAAGGTCGCTGTCGGGCGGGGGCGTAGGCGGTGGTCGCGGGGCGGACATTCCAGGCTGCGTCGGGGGGGGGGGGGGAGGCAGGGTAAGCTGGAGCGGTGAGGGTGGACCAGGCTGCGACGCGACTATTGAGGAAAATTTGGCGGATGACGGCTGGTGGGTGACAAAACCAAAGTTTGGATGATCAGCAGGTTCGCGGTGCTGATTGGTTACTTAATTATGTTCCGACCTCAGATATAGGTACTCCCATTTGAAGTAATCTGGCTAGTTTTGTGTGTAGAGAATTATGTGTTGAAATAATTGAATCTGCTACCGGTGACCTTTGAGACAAACCCGGCCACCTTTGACGCGATATGCTTCAGAAAACATCTATTAATATTTACTCGTGAGACGATTTTATCGATAATCCGTCCAGTCCCTGAGTGAACACTTTCCAGACCTCAACCAGTCCCAGTATTTGTTTGTCTCAAAGCCTCCTGGGTCTGGAGGACCATGTTCAGCACCAGGCTCAGTGAAGGGTGAGTGGGTGCAGGAGTGATGGCGCCCATTTCCGGCGCACCTGAGACACTGATGGCGCGTCTCGGACCGTGTTTGTCCGCGCTGATTGTGTAATGGACGGGCACGTCAGACGCGAATGGAGCCGTGAGTTGCATACGGACAACGCCGCCTGTCGTGGCTGACTTAGCGAGGAGGATGTCGAGAAAATAGCATGGACTCTTCATAGAGCAGCCACGAGCAGAGTCATAGGACAGAACTCGGGCTGTTCTTAGTTGTTAGCGCTGCTAACTGGCACAGAGATGCGCGGATTGCTCCTTTGTTAATTGCAGCATCGGGCCACGATATGGAGACGGTAGTGCGGAGTGTTGTGATCAAAAGAGCCGTCAGCTCGAATATGCAATGGATTGTGGCCGTGCGCTCGGTATATCTTCCTGAGCATGTTAAATGGGCTTCGAGCTTCGTAGCTTCATAGCTTCACGAGCTTTTTATATTTCACAAGAAGCTCGTTGTGCACTTCCAGCACCTACTGCTTGGCTTCATTTTCTCCATACCATCAGTTCATGTGTCTCAGTCTTCGCCACCCTCCAGAGCCGCCTGACCTTTCAGAAGTGCCGACACTTCTCACGATGAGTTTGGCCTCGCTGCTTGTTAGGAAGTGTGTGTGCGTGGGCCAGTGAGCCGCCGATTCAGGCCGGCTCCAAAGGTCTTGCTCGCCTTACCATCGCGTGATGACGTGACGTCACTAATTGTAGTTCTGAGTTCTGACATAATTGTGGACCGATGGTCATTGGTCAATGGAGCACCGTGTATTTGGGTGAAAGTTTATTTCTTGATTAAAAAGTATACACCGAGATTGTTTAACAGAGTCATCAAGTGTGTGTGCAAACGGAATGATACCTTGTCCAGATATACACACGTTCTTATCTCCGTTTTTACGTTTATATCTTCAGTGTACTCTGAAGATATAAAAACAGCCATGACATTCACAAGAATGTTTGTGGATTGGATGCTCTACAAATCATATCACATGGCCACACGTTCGATTCGTGATAGAAATTATCGGCACTCTTCTGTCTGACCATAGCGGGAGAGTTTGTCCGAGTCAAAGGTCAATCATGCGCCCCATGGCTAATTTTGAGGACACGTGTCGCTTCGACTGCCATTGAACACTGCCATCGTCCATTGAACAAATTCAGTTTTTCGGCACTGCTCGTCCGGTATACAGGACAAAGACATTGGTGGGTGAGAGCTCAATGAGTTCTTCACAACCACCAGTCTGCCCACTGACAACCAACTACGTTATTTGCTTGTCGTGGTAACCAAAAACGCGAAACGCTTCTTAGAACGTTGTTCATCCCACTAATAAACCAGTCATCCCTACAATGTTATTACCTGCCTCTTCCCATCCCCCAATGCGTTTCTTACATCATCACAGTCTTCTTGTCCCGCCCCCGTCTCCGCCTACACCCCTCCCTTTCCCTTCCAGTTCCGCCCTCCCGGGTCGGTATCGTTTAGGACTCATTTGTCACCATTGCGTTGATGATTCCCCGGTGACATCTAATGATCTCGACTAGAGTTAATGGCCGCGGTGAGTTGCCGAGATTGGGTGGGACTCGATGGGTGTTTGGTACACGGAGACTCCGCACGCTGTGTGGTGTGAAATACACACGGGAGCGCCGAGAGAGGACTTTCCCGTCTCTTCGACGCTGATGAATCACAGTATCATGTACTATGGGTAACGTAATTATGTTGTTGTGGCCACATGCCTCCATTCATTCACTGGTGGTAGACCCGTATGCGGGTACAGACGATAATGGCCGTTCCTGAATATTATGTTCTGTGGTCTGCCATAGTCTAAACGTGTAGAAAGGCTCGTCACAGTCTGCAGTGTAGGCTGTGTCATGAAACATGGCCGCCCGGCGCCCTGTCATGGCTCTCCCTCCACAGCGTTCTCCACCTTCGTCTGTTTCTCCTCTACATATTTACCGAGGTTCGGCGCTAATCAAACACTGCCGGCTGCCACAGGTCATTAGACTTCGGCTACGATATCCTAACAGACTTTGGACAGGATGTCTGTGCGACACACCCCTGTGAAAACGGGAGGGAACCGCACGGTGAGTTTGCGGACTTCACATTAGATGTTTGCAGTACATCCAGTAAACTGCTGAAATAGCGAACGCCAGTCCATAACGTCGTCACTACTACT